AGGCCAAATTCAAATATTTAACCTATATTATATAGGCTCAAGCTTATTTAACTAATTTGACGGGATCCAACCTAACTCACCTCATTCGTATCACACAAGTTAATCTCGTACGGCGTTTATTATTATTATTATTATTTTTTCAATTCGCTTTCTGTGGGAAAGATTCATAATGTAATTGGTTTTACACTAAAAAGTAAAAATTACTACCTCTATCTTTATTTACTTTTCTTGATTTGATTTTTTTAATTTGTCCCTAAACATATGTCTTGTTTCAAATTTTATTTTCAATAATATTCATATTGACATTAAATAGAGATAATTAAAACTTAAAATAGTGTGACACTAAATGGAGTGAAAAATTGGAAAGAAACAAATAATTCTCATATAGTACATTGTTTTTAATGTGAAATTATATGAACATTAACACATATGATATGGGAACACATGAAAAAATTAATTAGGAAATTCAAACTCACTCTCTTCCCCCTTAACTCCTGTCAACTAATTCTAGTGTTATTGATTATAAATAATTATCAATCAAAGACCATTGGATCAAATAAGTGGAACTTGATATGCGTAAGGACCTGGATATAAAGTCTTGGGGATAAATAAAAATGGTACTGGGTCACGAGGGAAAAAATATTTAATAATATTCATTAAATTTATTTAAAAATGAAAAATATTATAATAATAGGGAGCAAATTTTCTCATATTGACGGTAAAAAAGATCGTCAAATTTTGCCTAATTTATATTGTGCGCGTGTGTATTAGTATTGATATATTTTAATATTAATTTTTTCAGCCAAATTATTTTAAGATTAATTTGATGATAAATTTTTAGTAAGGCACTCAAATTTAAGAGAGTGAATCTCTTTTACGCACTTTGTAGAGTTAACATTGGTACAGTATATTCTTTCAATCTTACTATTTCATGTTATTTTATGGGATAATTATATTCAAAAACCATTCAAATAAATTATTTACAGATAAGGACTGATATAAAATATATTGTCATTAAAATGAGAATATAGACTTTTTTTTAATAAAACTTGTTATTAGTTTCTATTTGTAATAAATTTAATTGAATGGTATTTGAATATGATTCTCCCTAATTTTATAAGGATCAAATAATTATTAATATCAATACTATCAATATATTTTTACTTTAAACATACGATAGTACACTTTTGTAAACAATGTCACCAGTATGTTGTGAGTTGTTATAACATCCATCATGCGACTTATATCTATTTTAATTTAATAAATAGTGTCTATTTGGCTATCAGTTTTTAAGGTTGAATTTCCGTTTGCAAAACTCAAATTTTCAAAGAATTTTTTTCCCCCATTTGCAAATCCAAACTTTGACGGCTAAATAATAGTTTTGCTCCACCAACTTTACAAACAATTTCATTTTAGTGTTTTAATTTTATAAAATATCTTTTCAGTCCTCTAATCCTTACACCTTAATTTTAAATGATTATTTTTTATACTAATTATTATTATTTTTAAAAAAATACATTTAATATGTTGATATAATGTTTGTCTTTAAAAGTCCAATGTGAGAACATTAAATTTAAAAATTATAGTGAATTACGGGAATCAAACAAAATCAAGAACTAACATAAATCTTTTAGAATATTTTTGGTTATCCACAATTGTGTTTAAGGCATCATCAAGCACTAAATATAAAAATATGAACCTTGGTTCACCATTTTATGAGAGACTATTTTTTTGTTAGATCCAACAACTGTTAGTTAAATTTTTAATTGAAAGGTGCATTTTTACCTTAGATGTATTATTCAAAAAACACTTAATAAACTAATCTATTAGTTAGAGTAATTTTGCTTTCAAAGTAATGAAAATGAAGCATTTTAACTTTTATCATCAAATTCTTAATATTGACCATTAAAATGCTAACTAGAATCTCAACTGTTAGGTAATTTAATAGCAATGATAAAAATGTTTCATTTTAATTAATTTAAGTGCAAAATTTTTCTTACCAATAGTTTAAGATATTGTGTATTTTTTTATAGAATATTTTAGGAGTGAATATGTACTTTTACTATAAATTTTTAGAATTAACTTATGCAATTTCTGAAAAACATGAAAACAATTGGGTTTTTTGTTGGTCCTCAAAAAGTCAGGGATTATGAATCTATCAATTTGCACTCAAGCAAGAAAATGCTGTTTGAGCGGGTAATTAGTTATCCACGTGTTTAGAGGTTACATGTGGGGCCCTATGGTTTCTCGCTTTCTGAAGAAGGAAACGAATAAAACGGACAGGGAATATTAAAATGTGGTCCCCTTGGGCAAATATTTGGCCTTTGCAAACAACGAAATGACGGATGTGTCCTTTTCTTGGAGACCAAGCGAGCCGGCCAAACCCCGTAGGACTTGGGAGTGGGAAAGACAAGCCAAATGAAGTTGGACGTTCTCCTCATGTTGTGCTTATCATTTCTGTTTAATTTGTTGCTTAATCTCTCTTCTTTTTTAGGTTACTTATCCCTTCATCACCTTTTCTTTCCTTATTTTCTAAAAACTAAAAAGGTACGAAAAAATATGAGTTTTTTAAAACATTAACTAAAAGAAATAAAACATAAATACTAGTATTATTTTTGTATGCACTTGATTCCATTTAATCAAATACTTTTAATGCAACAAGAAGAGAAAAAAAGAGTTTTTTGAGTCGAAGCTTAGTTGAATTGGTTTTTGAAACGTTTCGAAATCAAGATATGTTTTTGAGTTCAAAGAATATTTATAAATATATTTATTAATTGCTCATAAACAAGATTCTCATATTAATAACAAAATATGAATTTATGACTTTGTGGGTTACAAACTAAATTTTTATTATTTGAATCAACCTTTATCAGAGAAATTTTGTTGTACTTGTAGTTTTACTCTATTCAAATCAGATTCGGTAGAATTTGATATATCTACATTTAAAATACCAAGTATTTTGATTAAAAATTTACCAATAGGATTTTTTAAAAAAATTATTTTTAATAGAGTTAGGCTTTTTATCTGAACTGGATTTTATTTTTTATCATTATAAGATTCTTAAAAAATTAACTTAATACTAATATAGGTTGGAATTGATATAGATTCTTAGATAATACTAATACTAATATCGCAAGGTACCCATATTACATGTGGATTGTGGACCTTGATTTCAATTCTCAATATTCTAGATATATTTGATAAGTCGATAAGTATGTTTTATATGCACGTATCAATGTAATCAAATAATTATAATGATTGGAACAGGTAATTATATCCAACCCAAAACTAGGAAATTTTATATCTGATGTTCTCATCAATTCATATTTATATGCATGTATGTTATTTATTGTACTATCTCTATTTTAAATTATAAAATATTTTTTGAAGTAATTAGACATCTTAAAATATAAAACAATTTTAAAAAATAAAATTTTATTAATGATATTTTTTAATATTATCATTCTCATATTTTTTTAATATTCTAACAAATGAAGTATTAAATAAGTAAGATTTTTAAAATTTTATATTTTTATTTTAATAAAGTAGGATTATAAAGTATATTTAATGAGTTTTATTAATATATATATAATTTTTTTAAAAATATATTTCAATTTGAGATGAAGGGATTATATTAATTTATTTAAGACTTGTTCATATTGAAAGTTCTATCAAAGTAATTTTTGAAACAAAAATCTCAACTATTAACAAATTCAAAATTGTAGAATCCAAATTTACCAGTTAAATTAAAAGGTAAGAGTTTCAAATTTAATCACATTAAAATAAAGCAAATAATAACTAATGCAAAATTTTCCATATTACCAGTTACCAAAATTGGGACCTTAATATTATTTTCATTTCAATTTTAAAGTTATCTACTAACATTAAAAATTTAAAATTACTTTTAAATCAGAACTTGATCATATATTTTTCTTAAAATAATACTATTTCATTCAATATTTTCCACCTAATTAGAACTAACTCACGCTATAACTGATGGCTTACCATAAAATAACGCCAAAATAAGGTCATTAAGGTGCAATGCACCGCTATTAATCAGGTCCACAATGTTATCGCTACAATTAAATCTAGATATTAATTGTATGATATAATTAAATACCAAATTTGCCCCTAAGATGGTTATGGGGTTTTTCAGGAGGTTGGGAAAGGAAAATGAAATCAGTGTGAGGGTGATATGGAACTTTTATACATATTTAAAAATTAAATTCTTTTCAACTTTACAAAGGATTTTTTTTTTGGCCTGAACTTTACAAAGGAATTGGAGGGTTGTTGTAGTCTCTGAAGACATCAGTAACAGAAAAATCATGGAAAATTCCCTTCAAACTTTTTTAAAAAATTATAAATTATATTATGATAAGATTATTTTTAATGGAAAATTCCCTCCAAACTTTGTTTAGAAAATTATAATAAAACAATAATAATAATAATAATAATAATAATAATAATATTGTTTTTAATGTACTAAAGTTTTTTCCCCCCTAACTGGCTTCACGCGCCTTGCCGGATCCGGACCCGATGACAAAGTGCCGATTACGTGATTAGTCCCATTATCATCGCTGAGCGTGTATGACACGCGTGAAGAAGGAGTTTCAGCTTGACTAATTAATATGAAAAAATAATTAATATATACACAATAGATATAATAATCATAATCATCAATATACGTGAAAATCAATGGAGTGCTATCTGTAACGGGAAAAGAAAAGAAAAACAAAATTAATATCTGTGTATATCTTTACCTATATATAATTTATATGAATATATACAATACAATGATGAAATATTGATTACTTAGATAATTGACGAAAAGTTAGTGAAAATGAATAATAAAACTACATTAAAAATGATTCAAGCTAATAAAAAAAATCAAGGAATTCTAATTATTAAAATTTTATCACAAAATTAAATTAAAAAAAAAACTGTAAAAGCTTTAAACCCAGTGTTAAGACTCGCAATATAGTGCGAGTTCTATTTCTTTCTGCTTTCGTGGGGGTGTTCATATCTCGCAGAGCGACCCTTCCTCTTCAGCTTTAATGGCGTTGGAAATTACACGAACTGCACTCGACGCTACCCAGTAATCGTATGAAATTCTTCAATCTTTGCATGCCTTACCAACTGTTCGCGGATAAAATCCAAATGTGATGTTTATTGATGAAATTGAAATTTCCATCACCAAAAACCATCTTTAGTTAAACTTCTGAGCGAGACCCGAATGGCTGATGATGGTAATCTCGTAATGGGATGTGTTATTGAACTGCTTTAATCGATATCTTTAATGGGTTTTCTGTTTCTGGGACTGCTTTGATTGCTTGGTGTCAGCTTTTTGATTTTTTCCGGTGGTATCGGTTGGTTTGTTTTTATTTTCGGCGTGTGAAGGCGTTGAGACAGGGGACAAGATGAGAGAGAACGTGAAGCATGACGAAGAACTTGAGAAGCTGTTAGATGAGATCCCCCAGATTACTTCCTTTAATCATCTTCATCAGCAACCACATGGTTATGGTGAGGATCACAGACAGGCTATTCATGGAATGTATGATATGTATGATGATGATCCGTTTACTCATATGACTAAGTATCCATGTGTTTCATCCCCTATCAGTGGTTTGTCTCTGCTATCAGATGGGTCCTCCTCAAGCCCGTTCTCTGGTAGGTATCCCTCTTCTGAAAATGGATCACCAACGCCACTCCCGTTGGAGGATTTCAAATCCCCTATATCTTGTTGGAGTTTTAATTATCCCAAAAGATCCTGCTTGGATTCCAAAATGTCTGATTTAACTGTTAGGAAGAAGGATAATGAACACCTGGTTGATGAACTAGACCTCTGTACCAATTTGAGAAGAATGCATTTTAACAGCCAACATGAGAAGTCTTGTAATTTGGAAGATACATCAGTAGGCACAAATGGGCTTCCTTTTCGTGACTGTTTGGATGGAAATAATCCCATCAATGTTTATAAACAAGAGGAATATAACAATGTCGGGAGAGCATTTCTTAACCGTAAGGGAGTTGAATCCCCTTTTCCTAGTAGTCCTGTTGGTCCTATGAGTCCTGATTCTGAAGCAGACGTAGCATTTCCAGGATTTCCCCGGGACCATAAGATGACCGGTTTATTTGGAGCACGACACTGTTCCAGAAGGCCTGAGACTATGATATTGCAATCAAATGACTTTAGAAGTTCAATGGATTCTTCTAGGCACAGAGGACAGCTGATAAATAACTGCTGTTATGGAGACAATCTGGTACTAGATCTTACTGCTTCTTTGAATGGCCACCCTATGGTTGATACTTCACCTTATCTAAATCAAAATGGAATGAGTTTGATGCAAGAAAGGAGCACGTCAAGATTTCCAAATTCTCCCGTTCGTTCTAATTTAAGGCCATACTTGAGTGCTCAAAATTTACAGCAGTATAACCTTCCTATGTCTAGTAGAAGAGCTTTTCCCCTTTCAAACACAAGAATTTCACAAGCAGGTCTAGATGATATTACAAGTGAGGGGAGCTTCATCATCCAAGGTGAGGGTTTAAATTATGTCACTAGCAAGGGGTTTGATCATCCTAGGGGTCAGAGTAAGGGTGCTTTGCGTGACACTGGCTATAAAAAGCATCTTCGCAAGTCAGAGCCAGATATCCACCGCCTGGTTTTGGGACATCGTGACATCCCTCCGAGTGCTAGGACTGATTGCTCATCCCCTTTACTACCCAAGTGTAATTCCCTAGCAGAAGCTAGAGGGTACATTTATTTAATTGCCAAAGATCAGCAAGGCTGTAGATTTCTGCAAAGAATGTTTGTTGAGGGTACCCCAGAAGATTTTCAAGTAATATTCAATGAGATCATCAATCATGTTGATGAACTTATGGTAAATCCTTTTGGAAATTACCTTATGCAGAAGTTGTTGGATGTGTGTACTGAAGAACAGAGGATGCAGATCATACTCATGGTTACTCTAGAACCAAGACAGCTTGTCAGAATCTCTTTAAACACTCATGGGTAGTGATGCTATGCAACTTATGCTAGTAATTCAAAATTTTCTTGGTGTTCTAAGTTTTAACTTAACATTATCTACTTTGCTTTTGTCAGCACCCGTGTGATACAGAAGCTAATCGAGACTCTCAAAACAAGACAGCAAATTTCATTAGTTGTGTCAGCCCTTGAACCAGGATTCTTGGCGCTTATCAAAGATCTAAATGGAAATCATGTGATTCAGCGATGTTTGCAGTTCCTAAGCAATGAAGATAACAAAGTATAATTTCTGCCTTCTGCAAGTAATTAGAGTTTATTAACTGGATGGTACTTTATACATGATTTTGCGATGACAAACAAAAATCTGTATGCCTAACTCACTCTTGTTGATACACTTAAAAGCATTTTACGTATCAATTTTGTTCATTGATCATCTCCAGCGAAATATTACTTGTTTGTTATTTTCTTCAAGTATCATTCTATTCTCAGCTTTTACAATTATTCCTTTGGATGCTAACATTTTATGACATCGTTGATGTACCAATATCCATCATATATAGCAATCATGTTCAGTTTTCACTGATGATCTCAAGTAAAATAGTAGAAGTTTGTTGTTTTCTAGTAGTTTCATTCTATTCTCAATGGTTTTATAATGCATTTTTTAAGATGCAACACTTTTTTATACCTGGGTATTTTCCATTGTATATTGAATAGAATCTATATTTTCTGGCAAATTTTGATTTACCAGAATGTGCAGGTTCTGTGTTCAGTGTCTTTGTAACATGAAATGGGAAAGACACTTGGGCATTTGTCAGCAGCTGGGTTTCCGTTTTCTGTAATGAGAGGTGTTGAAAGTTCTCCCTTGCCGGGACTGAATAACGGATACTAATAATGTAGATGTCATGGGTTCCATTAAAATCTCCATTCTCTTTTGAAGTTCTCCTTTATATTTGCTAATGATGTAGGGAATAAGGATCCCGGTAGTTCACCTTGTTATTTAGCCTAATAAGCTGATTATCACCTTCTCTGGCTTTGATTGGTGGAGACTATGATCTAGTATCCCTGATAGGAAAATTTGAGATGTAGATATTACTTAAGCCCATTTGAATAAGCAGTAGCAATGGGAAGGATTAGATGGCCCTTATCGCAGTTTTCTTGTTCAACAATTTGAATTTTGAATATATTTATAGGAAGATAAATTTCTTCAACTGGAAGGGCATATCCATAAGCCGATAAGATCATGATTTCTTAAAAGTAGTCCACAACACTTAATGTCTTCACCACCACAGTCGTAGTTTGTGAAGGATCATGAACTAATTGTTAGAGTCCAAGAACATTAGACTATAGGTTAATTTTTTTAAAGAAAATTGGTAAACTGGATTTGTATGGCCTTTGCCTCCTTTTTTTTTTTTGGGTAAAAGCAGTCCCTTTCAGATCGGTACATTTTAATAACAATGCAGATCTAGATGCCAATGAAAACTTTAGTGATTATCTCGTTATATTGGGTAAAGGGCTTCGTAATTTGCTTGGGATTTGGTGCATATTCCTTGGTGTATGGCCAGGTGGATATGGTGCAAATTATAACAAAAAGGGATAGATCTCTTGCAATGTAAGAATTGTTGCTGCTTCATATCATCACATGATTAACATCCTTTTAGTGAACTGTGCATGGTTGATGCACAAATATTTTTATTCTTTGAGTTAAATACATTAATGAGAATGCATCCCTATTGAGCTGGGCTGGGCATTGGTAATCAATGCAATTTCTGCTGTACTCAAGATTGAGGTGTGAAAAACTGGAAAGCATAAAATGCAAAATTAATTTTTTTCCCCCTTGTGAAAGTATTACATTTTTCCTGTTAAACATTGAACAGTTTATATTTGTTGCTGCCGCAAAGTATTGCATCGAGATTGCAACTCATCAACACGGATGTTGTGTTCTGCAAAGATGCATTAATCATTCAAGCGGGCAGCATCGTGAAAGACTGATTGCAGAAATATCTGCTAATGCTCTTCGGCTAGCTCAAGATCAATATGGGTATTCTTTTCTTTTTATGCTCTAATACTTTTAAGATGAACCTTAATCTATAATATATCGTTTTCAACGTACAAATTTTTTTCTTTTTTAATTTTTGCTGTTGAGGCAACAATCTTTACTATATTGAATCATCTTCTTAGGTGATTTGTATGGAACTTTTCAATGTACCTGCATACAAATGTGGTAATCATCAAGACATTTTATTTTCAAACGAAAGGTTTTAGTTTCTGCACTGGAACTTTCTGCTTATATATGACCATTTTGTAATGATAGAATGATCATCAGATTAAAACTTTGAATAAAAGAACATATACAATGATTACCCGTTTTATCGGAAGCTGTAGAATCTCGGGAACGATGATGAAACATCCATGAACTCTAATGTCTATTTCATTCCAAGCCCTTTTCTTTTTCAGAAAATGTATGCTCTCTGCATGTGATATATAGTTATCAAATGGATCCAGCCTCGCCATTTGCAATAAATCTTTGCCGCTAATTCTTTATGGACTTATCTATTGCATTTAGAAATTTAGAGAGCATGAGACATACTGTACTTTGCGCTTTTGGATTTCCTCTTTCAGATTTCATCTATTACTTTTGTTTTCCCTGCAGAAATTATGTTGTCCAATATATCTTAGACTTACGGAATCCATATGCCACTGCTACTATAATTTCTCAATTTGAAGGTCATTATGTGCACATGTCAATGGAGAAATTCAGTAGTCACGTGGTTGAAAAATGTCTTGCTGTATTCAATGATGAGAACCGGTCAAGAGTCATCAGTGAACTGCTCTCTGCTCCACACTTTGAACAGCTGCTTCAAGACCCACATGCAAACTATGTTGTTCAGTCAGCTCTTCGAAATTCTGAGGTTTGTAGCACAAGCACTTCTTATTTTTTCCTCCTCTTGCTTCCCTAATGCCAATATCGTGAGGATCATGGCAATAAGTTTGACAAACCCAGGAAAGATTAATCAGCTCAAAATATTGGCGTGCCTTGTTCCTTTTTAATAAAAAAATGGCTGTTTTCATCCTTTATCTATCTCTGCACTGCATGTCCATATTAATGCTATTTTCTAACTCATATGAGCATTTAGATTCATTAATGGAATTTAATCCTCCTTTAACCCCGCTTTTCATTTTCCTTTTCTCTTGTTTGAATTTTCCTTCTAAACTAGGGTCATGTGCATAATGCACTGGTTGAAGCGATAGAGTCCCACAAAGCCGTTTCGCGAAATAGTCCGTACTCCAAGAAGATTTTCTCGCAGAAGCTCTTGAAGAAGTGATGTACATTCTCCCCTAATGCTAGAAGAAGTGTTGTTGTAGTTCAACATTACCAAAGCTGCATCATGCCACTACAATTATAATATATGCATTCTATGTTTATTTAACTTTAAGTTGATACTGATCATAACCATACAAAGGACTAGCTCTTTTAAAGAAGTGCTTACCCTTCTGGTCAGCTGTGTCTGGGATAAAAAAAAAAAAAAAAAGAGGCTAAGACGATTTTACTCCTATAGTTAAGTTTCTCGACATGCTTTTGTATTGTCTTGTATTTTAACATTTTGAATATGATCATCCTGTTAATTATGATATTATCACTGTACTGAGACTGTACAGTGTATAGAACGTTAGGACGTTTTAGCTGTTACTGTATAAAGTACTATGAGGAGACTCTCTCATAATAACTCACTTTATTTTGTGGGCAAGGGGATGGATGGATCATGGAGCTTAGTTCTTCACCTATTTTTCAAAATCTCATGTAGTTCCACATTTGTTCAGAATTGTAGGATCAGTTTCTCGAAGTTATTTTCTTGTATTTTCAACCCTCCTCCGGAGGCGTTGGATGGATCTATAACTTTTTGCTTAAATATTAGGAGGGTTTTAACTTCTGACACATACTCACTTTCCTCCATATTTTTTCTTAGTGGGAAAAAATGCAATTGCCTTTTTGAAGATTGTGAAATAAAGAATTACTTTATATGACATTATATTATTTAGCCATGTCTGATAAGTAATTAGACACTTCAAGGGCTTGTTTGGATTCAACATTCAAAAAGTCCTATTTTAATATTTTTTTCATTATTCAAAATATAAAATCTTATGTTATTTATACATTATTTTATTGTATAAATTATTTTCCAGATAAAATTTTATATTATTTATATATTTTTCTAATATGACCAAAATTACAAACTATAAAACTTATGCCTTTTTTAAGAAATTATATATTTGAAAGTAATTTTTGTTATATATAATTCAAACAACTTTCAGTTTATTAAAATGATTTTTCAAAAATGATGTATCAAAACATAAATCTGATTGTAATAGTTGATTTTTCCCAAACTTACTTTCGACAAATATACTTTTCACTAACAAAATTTTTACCAAATTGAAAACTGAAGGCACATTGTGAAGAAACATATTATTGATTATTGACTTTTCATATAAATTGTTAAAATTCGAAGGATTGACATTTCTAGTTTTCCACGACCTTCTTTGGTTGTTCAACTGAATTTTCTTTTTTGGCCATAAAAGAAATATATGCTATGTCTTTAATATTTATATTGTCATTATTTAATAAAAATATTATATATATGATTATTTTATGTACTAGATGAAGTCTCTATAAAACTTGAGAAGAGGAAAAATAATGCAAGAATTACAAGGAACCTAATAATTTGGCGGCCTGTGATACGACAGACACTTCGCCTCTCATCCCAGCAATGTGCAAACCACTAAACCTATTAATCAGTTAGTGATGATACTGATCTCACAACTCATCTGTGGGGTTCATATGGTGCTTTGAGGTAACTTGCTTGTTAAGTTAGATAAAATTAAGGGCATTTTAGTTTGGACAAAGCTTAATTATAGTTTATTAAGTGCTTGTATTGAGTAGAAAAAAATTTTCAAGGTCTACTTGTCTAGTATGAAAAACGAGAGAGACTACAATGGGATAATTACCCTATTTGGGTTTAACCAAACTTAAATTTGGACTAATTAATAATAGAACAGTTATACTAGAAAACGAAGCTTGGTTATGTTTTAACTTGATAATGCATTGCACATGTATTCATATAGTAAGTTGCACTATTCATATGACATTTCAACTTCAAAAAATTTAAGTTCCATTTTTCAATTTATTCATTCACAAAGTCTGAATATTTCTCAATTTAGTTTCTCCAAGTAAAATTCCATTACTAATATTATTTTTTATTGTTTATGAAATATAATGAGATATAACATACTTTTTATAAGTTTTTACCATTGTATAAAATGTAATATCATCGTCGAGGTCGATTAATATTTCTTGAGTTCAAGGAAGTTATTATTATTATGATTTTATTTGTAAATAATTAAAAACTAAGAGTATTTATATGAGCGATTAAAATTAAGATTTCAAATATCCAACTACAAAAATACATTAGGTTTAATATTAAAAAGTGAACTTATAAAGCTGTTAAAATGTTATTATGAGAATGTACTTAATAAAAAAAAATGTTAAGAGAATGTTCAATTCAAATATGATTGTCAAATAATTGGGTGTTCTATTTTTGGATCGGGGGATTTATGAGGAAGCATGAGTTGCAATGTTTTCATTGATATACTTATTTTCATTCTAAATGTAGGAGCAAGTTAACTTAATTTACATAAATTTAGATAAGTTAGTTATTTATAATAAAAAAAATGTGTGTTGGCAATGATTAGAGATGAAGGAGATTGAGATCTTATATTTAGACTATAATCAAAATGAATTTTCAGCTACTTTCTCCATTAAAAAATGTAAGTTATCTTTAACCTAATCTCATTCCCTGATAAAGTAGTTATCTACTTTTAAATTAACCATATCTTTTCTTATTTATCCCTATTAAATACCTTACAATAAATATAAAATCATTCATCAATATGAGTACTTTTAAAAAAAATAATAATTATATCTCAAAAAAATAAAAATATTTTATATTTTTAAACATCTAATTCTTTAAAAAATACTTTACATTTTTTAATGAAAGGTGTAGCTTTGACAATTATAATAGTGAAATATCTGCTAAGCTAGAAGTACTTGGATGTTTCATATCACAACAAGCAGGACTAATATCAAAGCCCCTTTGTAGGTTTGAAAACGATCTGTTTATTAACAAGAAGCATTTTGTTATGATCACCGTTAATTCCCAAAAGAAATTGATACATTTTGAACAAATCAATCACACCATCGATATTTTATTGTTTGTAATGCCTAAGAAACTGAGATATATAAATATATGCTTTTGGCTAGAATACGTGAATGATATGGTATTGACTAAAATAACTTCTCTGTACTATATGAGAGATATTTAATTTAAAAAAAACATAAAATTTAAAGAGATAGAGAAATCTAATAATTTTTTTTAAAGAGATCAAATACAAACACTCACATTTCTATTTACTGGGAAGGGTAACCTTTTTTTCAATTGAAAGAGTGACAAACACTTGCTATACTTACATACATCATTTAACCTATAGAACATATAACTTCTTCAAGAGAGTGGGGTGTCATTGAATGACAACACTCGCGATTGAATAATAAAATTATTCACAAATATCACTTTTAGCAAATATTTATTCCTGAAGATTTTCTATCAATTTTTGATCAATGTGAAATTTTCAGCTCATTTCATACCAAGCAAGGAGTCAGGCAAGGTTACCACCTCTCATCATGTTGAATTTGGTTTGGTTGAATCCGCTCTCTCAATTAGTATTTTAATCATAGTCATTATATTTTATCAATACTAAACAATTATCAAAATATATTTTTTTAGAAAAATTCAAAATAACTTTTATGATCATAATAGACCTCACATATGTCGTCTCTTTCAAAAAATTGAGATTTAATGTTTTTCGAGTATCGTTTGATAAAACTTCTCACAATCATTTGATTTCTGTTCAATTAAATATAATTGCACTCACTTGATCCAAATTCCATCATGTATATATTTGATCATTATCTATGCAAATGTCCTGTCCTATCCTATCTGATTCTACAGCATGAAGAAAAAGGAAACTGGAAAGGAATTAAAATTTGCAGATCATACCGATCATGTCTTTCAGTTAGCCTTTACAGATGACACAATCACCTTCTTTAAAGGAACCTTGGATAAATATCATCCTGTTAAATAGGTCCTTAACTCCTACTGCTACTTCTCAGGTTAGGAAATTAACTATGCAAAATCACTTTCAAGCTTTACTCCAATTTCCCCAGAAAACTGGAAATCAGATTGGTCGGATATATTTTAAGAGTAAAATGTGCTTAGGAGATTGGGAAGTATCTGGAGTAAGTATTGATTCTCAGCCAAATAAGGCTGCTGTTATTCGTCATTTGATGTATGTGGTTTAAAAGAAACTCAGCATCTGGAAAGGCGGCTAGAATGACACTTATCAAATCAGTGATTACTTCTTTCTTACATTGGCTAGGCTTGTCAAACGGCCTGTTCAAACCTATTTTATGCTCGAGTTTGAAAAATCAAGAAATTTTAGTATAATTGAGCTTCTAAATGTGGCTCCTTTTTTTTTGAATAAATATTGGAGAAACTTCATTCAACTGAAAGAAACAAGAACAAAAAGTCCTAATGAGAACAAAAATCCAAACAAAAGATAAAGATTAGAAACCACACAAAACTACCTAATAGGTGATTGGTCAAAAAGATTAGAATCTAAAGGAAGCCTATGAGCAAATTTGGCAAGATAATTTGCCATGCAATTCTTTTCTCTGTACACAAAATGTAAATTAATATTTCACTTCCTACACAAGAGTCTCCTCATCACCTTAATGATGTCCTTAAAAGGATGAAGACTATAATTGTCCCTTAAACTTGGCTCTTTTAAGCTTTGTAAAAATGAATTGAGGTTGGGTAGCCTGTTTTTTTATTTTACCCCTAAAAAATAAAATATTTTTAATTTTTAAATATATTTAGACTTTACAATATATGTTTAGATTTTAAAATTATAATTTATGTTACTTATTTTTAATTTTTGAATATTATAATTTTTATTTTTAAAAAAGAATATGTAATATTACAACATAAAATTAAAAAATTCGTGAAATTAAAAATAACAAAAAAAAAGGATTATGAGGGCTGAGCCTGAGATTAATCAATAAAAGTTAATTTTATAAAAATGTTAAAAATGAACAGGCTTTTACTCGGATAGGAAAATCATCTTCAACGAAGCTAACAAAAGACCAAGATGGTTTATCTTCATTGAAGCTAAGTAAATCAAATAAAAAATAGGAAAGCGGGAATTAAAAGCAAATTAGTTTTAAGATAATCTCTTTTTTTTGGGTAAAATTTTAAGTTAATCTCTTTATTCCGTGATTTTAATCTAATGAATCACAAAATACTTATCCAATCTCTCCAGGAAAATGGAACTCTTATGCAGACTCTTTTGCATAGTCATGTGGATGACAGATCTTGAAGATTTTGGGCCACCAGTATTTCTGGATTTCCCCATCCATCCAAAGCACCTACGGTTCTTCTTCGACAAAAAGTTGACCAGCATGCCAACCTCAATATTTACATTATTAATTCATCCCACTTTATAAGATAGTTTTAGATAAAATTAAACATATTAATAAAAATTATTAAATATACTTTATAATTTTATGTTTTAAAAATTAAAAATAGAAATTTTCAAAAATGCTATTAATTTGATATAACCTTTTCTGTGAAATATTAGATAAAGTGAGGGAAAATATAACAATAGCAAGGAAGCCTATACATGTTAAAAAAAATACACCCTCCGTTTAAAAATATAAATTTTTTTAAAGAGTTAGATGTTAAAAAATATAAAGTATTTTTAATTTTTTAAAGTATAATCATTGTCTTTTTTTTTTTCAAAAGTACCCCTGCTGATAAATAATTTTATATTTATTGTAGGATATTTAATAGAGATAAATATAAAAAGATAGGATTAGTTTAAAAGTATGCAACTACTTTATTGAGGAGTGAGATTTGATTAAAAATGACTTAAATTTTTAAACGGAGAGAGTACTGCTATCTATATTAAAAAAATATAAGACATTTATTTGAAATAAAATGTTAAAAAATATAAAGAGACTTTTGTACATAAAACCTATTTAATAGGATCAAATATTTTGCAATGTGGCCAGAGTAATATTTAGGTTCAATTGAAATGATAAAAATGCTCCTTCTCAAACTTAAAATCTTATTTTCATTCTCAAATTTAAAATATAATATGCCCATTAAATTAATTGTAAAGTATTCAAAAGTGTTTAAATATTGAAGCAGTTGTAAATGGGCCACAATTATAATCACTTAATTATGAGAGTTTTGCTATTCTATTACACAATTTTTTTTATTTGTTTGGCGGATAAAAACAAGAAATCGCATTCCATGTGATGATAAATGGGCCATATTTTAAAATTTTTAAAAACTTCTTCCATAAATTTTGATTAATATATTTTTCACAATCATTAACCCAAATTACTCCAATATTAAAGTATTTTGGGTTTTTTAAGATGAAATTAATGAGTCTTTCTTTTTTTTTTAAGTATCCGAAGTGTAATTGATGAATTTTATTTGATATATCTTATTAAATAAAAGGTAAACATAAAAGTGTATAATTTCAAAAATAATTAACTAATTCCATTAAAAAAGCTTTATACTAATATTGAATAAAAATAGTATATTTAGCTAAATCTTACTTTTAGTTTTATCAAATTATTTTGACTAAAATATCCTTTAGATTCTATAACTTTATATAAAACTTTAATTTAGTCATTTAATTTTAAAAAGCATATTTTCAATTACTTCCTCCATTTAAAAATGTAAAGCATTTTTTGAGGAGTTACATATTAAAAAGTATAAGACATTTTTAATATTTTGAGGATAATTATTTTTTTAAAAGTGTCCCTATTGATAATGACTTTATATTTATTATAAGGTGTTTAATAAAGATAAATATGAAAAGATAGGATTAATTAAAAAGTAGGTAAGTACTTTATTTGGAGGTGAGATTCGGTTAAAAATATTTTACATTTTTAAATGAAGGAAATATTTAATTTTAAAACTGTTAATTTTAAATAATTATTTTTTATATTAACCATTATTACTTTAAAAAATTAAATTTAATACATTAACATTTGAGACCAATATTTTAAAGTTTAGTGTATAATTTTTTTTTTTTGATGAAACTAACAATATTAAGATTAAAGGATTATAAAGATACTTTATAAAATTAAAATATTAAAATAAAATTTTTTATAAAGTTAAAAAATTTAAAATATATTTTAACTATTATTTTATATTTTAATTTTAAAATATCAAATCACTTTTAAAATTTGTCTGTAAATTAAACGGAGGGAATCTCAGGAATAATAAATTCTAAAAGGCAACGAGGCGCAGCAACCATGACACGTACTACGCCTACCTCGTGAATAACAGCGTCGTTGCTGAGCAGTCCCACACCAACGTGTTGGTCTCTCCGCAACTAACGGCATACGTGGACCAATAGCGTCACAGTAAGTGATCGGATCTTAGCGCCTCCCTCCCGTCCACGAATTCTGATATCCACCACCCTACGCCTTGATTCCTCGCCACGTGGCACGTCCTTCGTGATTCCTTTCGCTTAGATTATTATTATGCAAAACAACAAAATATTCTCCACCAAGAAAAACAAAAATAAACAAACCCAAATTCCGCTGGTTTTCTTCTCCGCCAAAAGAAAGCTCTGGAAGCTCCTAGGATTTCTACTTTGAGATGCGATCAAGAGCCTGAACTGCTTTCTGTTGTTGTGAATTTCAGTGCTGTTGCTGAGGTTTCTCGGCTGGCTTTTGGCTCGGAAACTTCGGATTTGCTCGGAAAATTTGTTCTCCAGGTATGTTTGCCGGAGTTAAGTGGATGTTGCCGATGTCTAGTTTAGTCTTTTCAATTTCTTTCTTTTTTTGGCGGAGCAAACTTGATCTGGTTTGTTTTTCGGGTACGAGAATACTCGAAGAGGGTAAAAATTAAGTTGAAACGATGGAGGGATCGTCAGCTCCAGTTGAGCTTTATAGTGTTCCAATTGGGATTAATTTAATTCACCTCCTTCTTGTTTTCTTTTTCTGTCCTTTTTTTTTAAATATATGAACATCAGCTAATATAGAAGTTCAATAGCTATTTCTGAGAGATTTACACTACATCGCTTGTTTTAGTTGCTCCTAGCGAGCTAGGGTTGAATAGTTCTATTACTTTTACAGATTCTACAGTAGTATATAATCTGTTTTTAGTTATTTTCCCTTATCTTTATGAAACTATACTTCAGTCTGCTCATAACAAAACTATTTCAGCAATATTTAGATAACAGAGAAATGGGGAAAAAAAGAGGAGAACTTTAAATTGAATTGCTGAAGCTTAAATGTTCGATCTTTTGATAACTTGAATATCAAATTGGCAATATATGTTGATGTTCAGTTCTTTCGGAAAACCTTTGCATTTGGCTCATAAATTTCTTATTTTTGGCTCATTGACTTTTTTATTATTTATTTCTCTATTACTTAGGAGGTGATTTCTAGGAATTCTCTCAAAATAACAACAACAACAACAACAACAACGTTTCTAAGAAGAAATTGAACTTTGTAATAATCCAAGGGGCCTTGTTTATGCTTCAAGTTCAGAAATAGAGAATCACTCTTCTTATCGTTCTGTTCTTTCTTAAAAGTGATAGGTGATTGATTTGGTCACCTTTATTTCTTTTCCAGCACCAGGTAGTCATAAGTTATGATTACTTCAATAATTTTGATAATTGAACTATAGTCGTTAAAAAAAAAAACAAAAAGAAGAAGTCTTCTTTATTTTTTTAGCAGGGTTGTTGAGAGAGAAACATTTAAGTCCTTTTTACTAACTTTAACAGTGAGTGCTAAAATTTGAAATGTTCAATTGTAAGTATCGTATTTCTTGAACTGAAAGGGTAGCAGGGAACTTGACTCAACTCTTCAATACAGAGTAAATTAAATTGATCTCCTTTGAGTTTTGCTATAATTACACAAAGCCCCCTTTTATTTTCAGGATATGCACTTTAGTTAAAAAATGTAGTGAGATTGATGGAGGTGTTTCAGTTAAAGAAAATTCAAATTGAATTGAAGCGTTGCACAATCTCACATTTTAAGGAATAAAGTATGTGTTCTGAAAATAGAGGAGAGGTTCAAGTAATTTCAGCGAAACTGAAGAAAGGTATTGTAATCTTCTATTTGATAAGTTACTTCTATATTAAAATTAAAACTTTCAACTTTTTAAAAGAGGATGCTAGTGGTGAACAAGGATGGCGGGAATAATAGTAACAAACTTAAAAAGTTATGTGAAGTTTATATTTAGTAATCTGACCGTTGTGCTATTTGAGGCATTTTATGTGGTCACAAGACTCACTTTATAATAACGGTTAACACCTGATGATTTCTGAGTCTCTATTCAAAAGGAAATGACCAATAGCTGCTATTCTTATGGTAGATCACGGCTATTATTTCCCAAGACCTGTAAGTGCTGATTGACATAGAAAAAGGAATGCTTTGGTTATTAGATTTTAAATTTCATTTTTTTTAAAGCTTTAATGCTAGAACCACGTATGATTTGCAAGTATCTATTCATGATGTCTATATCAATCAGTGGAAATAAAAGCAGTCATATAACCTGAGGTATGTCTTTTTTGTTATGCTGTCTGACAGAGAAGCATCTTGAGGAGATAGATTGTGAAGGATAAATGACATTAGATCAAGCAGTTGCATGTGACTTCAATGGTGGATAAGATATCTCAGAATGTCAAAATTCTGCATGCTTGAGGTACTAAATATTACATCGCAATTTTGTTACAGAATTTGATTGTAATATTTCTGCTGTGAGGTGCTTCAATGTGAATGCACATGTCTTTGCTCAGCATGAGTGCCATTTCTGGATTGACTAAATATTCTTGTTGTTTTTACTCGTAGAACCATATATATTTTAGAAAAATTCCATTACTATATAAATGTCCGCATCCTGAACTTGTGAAGTTAACGTTGAGCAGTTAATGTGAGCTGGAGGAAATGTGGCAAGTATCCAGTACCATAGTTGGTGGCAGATCTTGGTGATAACTGGGGAATGTGCCTTCATATAATGTGAAATACTCTATACTGTATTGATGATATCACTGTCTGGACTTTGATGTTTTCATTGCCATATTAAATGTTATTTCTGGTTGAGTTTCACTTTCGTACACAAATATACTTTTGGTGTGTCTTTGTAGCATAATCTTGTAAGCAGGCTGTTATGCAATCCGAGTTGAAAAGAGCTAGGGATGAAGAAATGCCTTGGTAATTATTAATAAGACTCCAGAATCACTACACTTTGAATAGCTTGTTGTTGATTGGTGGTGAGTGTAGCTGATGTTACTGTCAATGTGAAGCTACACTACTTGTTAAATGGTAAACATAAAATTTAATATTTCTTACCTTTACTTCTAACTTTTTTCTCTCGTTATGACTCCCCTTTTATTCTTATTTGCATCGAAAGATTTATCCTTGTAAGAATCTTTCAACTGGTCATGCTTAAAATTATGTTCCCTTGAGTTTTCCTATTTGGGTATTTTATTTTATTTTTTTGAAAGAAGATCTATTTGGACATAGTATTTACATGGTTGAGGTTTCTTCAGGTGGGGTTGTGTCTATAAGATTCTTCTTTGACCCTTTGATGAGGATTAAGTGGATTCCACTTTTATAACAAAGTGAATTTATGGGTTTTATGGCTATGCCTTGCTTATTCACTATGTTGATGCTGGCAAAATGATGGCTTGTGTATTTGTGAGCATGAACAAAATTCTAATTCTAACTTTTGTGGCTACTGATCTCACAATGTTTCATTATGTAACATGTAATCATGTTGTCGCCTTACTGAATTGAGATTTCCATTTTTTTGGTTTGAGAGCATTTTAAGCTTATGGCTTAAATAATACATCTCTTAGAGTTGGGATGTCTATTCCTGGCACGGTGGTAACATGGGTTTATCTATTATTGCAATGAATAATTTCATGACCTAGCTTAAAAAAAGAATGATAAAGACAATGTCTACTCTATCATGCATTGTCTCTAAATCTGTATGAAAATGTGTAGCATTTTAGGATGCTGAAACATTTTTTGCTGTAATTTTCGGGGCAACATTTCTATCTTTAGCAACACCATGGGATCAAAAAATATGGACATATCATTGGGCCTTTATATTAGCAGAAAATTTCAGTCAAGTCTGGAAGGAATAGTGGGATTAACAGTCACTTGAGCAATTTTTCTCTCCTTACATGACCATAGTCTTATAGCAAATTTTCTGAATTCTTCTTGTCCAACCAAATGAATGCATATAATATTTGTTGATACTAGGTTCAAACTGTTGAACTTCTTGATTCAACAACCTGTTTTTTTGGTCCTTGTTGATTCAAACTATTACGTAAACAAATAGTAGCTGTTACCTGAAGTTGACACAGTAGCAATTTGTTGTGAAGTTTCTTGAGCCTGATATTCCACCTGAATGTGCTTAATTTGTTGTGTTTAACTGTTGTACTATTGACGTGAGAATCTAGTTGCTGTCAATGATTTCCTTGATCTATCATTTGAAAATTCTATGATGTGAAAGAAGTTGGAACTGATATAATCTTATTTTAATCACCTTTCTTTTGCCTGCAAACGTTTAGCTATATTGGAATTTCTAAACGGATGTTGAAATTTTTGAAATCTCTCATTTCTCTCTATATTAGGTTCAATGCAATGTTATTGAGGATGTTTTTTGTTCTGTATTGCCAGGTTACTATTAAAAACTTGCTAATTTGCTACTTTCTAACTACTTCTCTTGTCACAGATTGAAGATAATGTGTGGGATGAATTTGTTGAAAATGATCATATAGTGGCCCTTTCTGGTGATGAGCACACAAATCAGTTTGCAATAGAGGGTGATAGTAGCAAGAAAAAACGTCTGGAATTGCATGGTACTAGAAGTAATAATTTAAGCACATATGGCACTCAGGGTCAGAAAGAATTTTACCCATCAACTATTACTCAGGAAGAAATAATGCTGGAAGAGGGTTCATGGTCTCATCAACGTGAAGGTGTCTTTCCTTCATGTGATAGTGAGGCATGTAAAGAGGTGAAAAGACTAACATCAGATGATACAAGGATGTCTGGTCATCATTCCAAGAGTACCAATACAGATTCTATTGACAGTGAGCTTTGCGTGGATGATACTGTTCTTGGAGACAAGTGTGTGGTGGAAGATGATAGTGTGTGTGAATATCCAATCAACCACATATCCCAAGCTGACAATGAACTTAGCTTTCTTGATAATGATGGGTGGCTGGATATAGGAAACTTTGAAGATGTTGATAGGATGTTTAGGTAAGGAGAAATTGTTGCATTTGAAAGGAATTTGCTCATTTTTCCCAATTTCTGAAATACTAATCTATTTATCATAATGATATGTGACTTAAAATTGCAGAAGTTGTGATTCTACTTTTGGAATGGGAAGTCTAAATAATGAAGAGGAGTTCTGCTGGATCTCCTCGAATGGCACCAATAGATATGATGATGCATCAAAATCTACCTTTAAGTTACCAGGAGCTGAACCAAGTCTATTGAAAAATATATTAGATAATGATAAGGCAGGTACCGGTGGTCTTCCAATCAATGATTCCAACAAAAAAGCATCTTCATTCAATAAAAAATTGAGGACCCAAATGGATGTGGATGAGGATGTATTCCCTGCTTCATCATCAGTGCTCAATGAATCAGACATGAAATCTGGTATTATTGATGACTCAATGCCAAAAGAAAAGGTTGGTCATTATGTTTTTCCATTTTACGACCTGGATTCTGATTTCTTGATTTTGAACTTCTGGAGCAACAATTTTGTGTGGATTCATTTATCAAAACAGAGACTCAAATAGTAGTGCTTTTGAAGGCACGTGACATAATAATTTTGATTTATGCTTCTGGCCTGATGTAATTTGTGAATTAGACTGTTGCAAGTTGTTGTATAGATGTGATCATATCAAGACAACAGTGATTCTTGAAACTTGATTTGAGGATTTAGAAATCCTAAATCAATTGGTGGTATATATTATTTCATTTATTATGATGTGGTGATCTGTCCATGTACTACTAATCATTATCCCTATTATCAGAATTATAACTCATAATGAGTGTGTATTAAAGCAATCAAGCAAATAGTCTTCCTCCTAGTTTTTCATATTTGTTATTTGTGCTGTATTTTTCTCAGATGTTTTATCATGCATTGCATTCATCTAGTTTGCAAAGTAAAATTTGTATCTATTCTTAAACTGAAACAAATTGTTTCTTGTATATCACAATAGTATTCTTGTTTTGCTGATGCAGAGGAAACCTTCAAGACCATCAGAAGGAAGAAGGAAAAAGGAACACCTAGAAAATGGCAATCCTGTTTATCCCTGTGCTCCATTAAAGCAATATGGAGATGTAAAGAAACCTTTTGGAGCATCTTCTGGCAAAGTTAGTTCGCATGTTAGCATCCAGAAACATAAACCAATCATTGATTCTGATTCATTAGGATGCTTACAGCATGCTAACTTGCCACACCCGGGGTATAATTGTCCAAGTAACACTTCCCTTCTTCCAACTTTGTCTGGATCCAGATCTGAACACAATAGCCATCCATCTTCTCTTATAGAATCATCTTATGCTTCAAACGTGGAGAGCTCACAAGCTCATTCTTTAGAGGCTGCTGCTTTGATAGCAAATGAAAAGAGAGAGAGATTATACCATCCCAATGTAGCACAACCATTAACGAAGACTACTAAAATTGAAAGTATGGCAAGTCCATTGCCATGTCAAAGTCCAGGTTCAGCTCAGCTTGTGCATCAGTTTGAAAATGACAATGAAGGCCACAGTGAAGTTGATGGAGTTAGTATAGGATTTTCACAAGAAACAGAGTCCTCTAATGTACAAGAAATCTCATCAATGAGCTCTGTGGATGAAATCTCACTTGAAGCAAGCTTTCACCAGCTGCAACTGGTCATGGATCAGGTATTGGAGACTTCCGTGACATTCATGTTTGTTTCTATATGTTCTGTTTGTGTCTCTCAGACTATGAAGTTGAAATTAACATGTCTTGGTGATTTTTTATATGATTTGTGTTAATACCACACTTCTTGTACTGCTTGGCCCTAATGTCCGTTGAGTTACTTAGAGTTTAACATTAAACACTTACATTTAACAGCCTAAAATTTCTAGCACATTAGTTGTCTTGCTCCCAATGCTTTCATATACCAATCAGTGTTTATTAGTAGTCTCTGTTAAAGTTCTTGATACAATTGAATGTGGGACGCCATATAAGTTTCAGGCATGTGAAAAAAAATATTCATTTTCATGTTTATCTAAAACTAAATATGAAGCTTGTGTTAGTTGATTGATCTTTCTTGATGTTTGGAGGGACAACGGTAATTGTAAGATAAGTATGATGATACAAGTAATGGTAGCTTGACCAGATTTATGCAAATTTTGGGCTTAAGGGGCGTTCTTTTTATAAGCCTTTCATGTGATACAAAACTCAGTCCGCAGAATGGCTTTCTGGATTTTGGACTATTTTTAATCGAGCATTTATTATTTTCAATTCAGCAAGGGACTTCTTTGATTTCTTGAATGCTATTTGCTCAGATAAATTGGAACAGTAGCTCTACTAGGTGAAGTAATTGAAGGTGAGGTTTTATTACTGCACAGTTGCAGTGGACATGCCCTAGAATAGAGCTGGTGTGACCATACACCGAAGATTGATACCACCTTGAAATATTTCATGTCTAGCTTAGGCAAGACAATCGATGTTGGCACATGATAAAAAAATCAGGAGTGGCATCTTGGCTGTCTTTTTCAGAATGCACGCCTAGTTAACTTATTTGCTGAAAAAGTTTGGTGACCAATGACAATTATTCTTGTCTTGTTTCTATTGGTCACGTTGGTTAATAGTTAGTTCCTATAGACAGCTCTATTTTTGGCAGGATTATAATATCCAACTTTACATAACATCTGTTAGACATTTGGACTAGAGATCTTCTGAACAAGGCTAATAAAATTGCCATCTTGTTTCAATGCATGATCTTCTTTACCATTGGTGGTTATCACTGGTCATTTACTTCTTGGTATTAAAGCTGTTGGAGATTTATTTTAAATCAAGGATAAGCATTCTCCTGAGAGCATAAGCTTTTGGAAAGAAATAATTTTTGACACAGTTTAAAGAGCCATGATATGCCAACTGTTTGAGTTCAATCTTTGTCACCCCTCTCTAAATTAAACTAACCGACATGGCCAAGGCAAGAATAATTGACTAACAGTTTGAGTTCGTGCACGCAATGGTGAATGTGAAAAAGAATGACTTATTTCCCAAACTGTTAGTGCACATGGTAGTTTTATTAGCAGCCTTACCCTAGTTAAAACCTTAATTTGCCCTTGGTGAAATGTCACTTGATAAGTATGTGATTACAAAGTTGATAAGTTTGTTTTTCTAATCATGTCTTCATTTTGTTTACGTGAGTTTTCTATACTTATGGATTTCTCCTTAGTCTGTTAAATTCTTAATTTGACATCATCTTGTCAATTTGGTGAACATGGTTTCTAGCCAGGTCTACAAGTTGTGATAAATTTGTCTAGCAATATATTTTAATGCCTTTTTCATTCACATCATCACATCTGTCTCAGCACAAAATTTGCCTTGTTCTGAGTTTCTGACATATGCCATGCATTGCATAATAGTAATTTATTCCAAGTCAGTCTGATTTGTATTTTACAGTCTAACTTCATTTTACACAACATCAGAAAGCTTCCTTGTTCATTTGCTAAACAATATAGAAGAGTTGAAAATATGCACGAGATTCATTAATTAATGCCTGCCAATATGTTGAACATATTTTACTTTGTTGTTCACAACAATTACTGGATTGCAGTTAGATGTAAGGACCAAACTGTGCATAAGGGACAGTCTATACCGTTTGGCTAAGAGTGCTGAACAAAGACATAACTATGCCAAAGCAAATGGTAGCGTTGGAGACAATATTCAAGCCTGCAAAGCGATGATGACTCAAGATGTGAGCGGGTAATTGCTCACATTCTCCTTTCCCTTTTTAATTAAATTTATATATTTGTTGACTACAAGGCAGTAACCATTGCCGTTGGAATGCTGTTTAACGGGGAAAAAGAGGAGGGGGGGGGAATTAAAGCTTCAGTTTTGATAATTTTGAGGCTATTTTTCTCATTACAAGGTTGAGGAAAGTATTTTACAAATGACTCTAGTTTGTATTGAAAATCAGGTTAACTTGGCTAGTTAAACTAGCAAATATTAAACCAGTGCTTTGACCGATTCAAATAAAATATTTTGTTTATGGTCGATTTGACCATAATTCAACTATGATTTTGATTATGAATTCTTGCACTGATGTGTTGACTGGTTTAATGATGGGTCCAATTTTCAATATTCTACTAGTTTGAAGAGAGGTATCTGGATGAATGCAGAGAATCTTGTGTATTTTAATTCCAGTATTGATTTTAAACCATCGTCCATTTGTCCCAAAAAAAAAAAAAAACCATCTTCCGCACTTTGCATAACTATGGAAAATAGTGTCCTCAATGAATCTTTTAACCAAGCATAATACCATTCTTTTTCAGGTGTTCTGGATTCATGGACATGGAAACTGATACCAATCCCATTGATCGGTCAATAGCACACTTTCTGTTTCACAGACCTACAGATTCAACAGTGATGCCTCCTAGTGCAAAGTGATTCCAGCTGTGGCATTATTTTTGTGTAAAACGTGTAGTTTCAAGTATATGTGATAATGTACTAATATTTGGGGCCTATCAGACGCCTAATTATCAATTTTTTTCCAGTTCCATACACTGGCATAAATGTATATTGCGCTGATCATCACAATATAAGGTAGCTGCTAAGCTTGCTTCCGCTCACTGATTATACCAAACTTGTTTGTATATTGAAGTTTGTGAGTTTGTTGTTAGAATCTTGGATAATTGTTATGACGCAAATACGAGAGTTTTAGTGTTGCAGCATGTTCCCGTCAGTCATATCTGCCACTTCATTTATGACTTTTTTCTGGAAAAGCGAAGACCCGATTCATTGCAAGAAAAGCTACTCCTTATCACGCTTATATGTCAAACCCTACATTTGTCAAGAAAAATTTTAAAATTTATTGATCGCTTAAAAATTGGAATTTTTTTTTAACTCTGCTCATATTAAACACACGAACTTTCCTACATCAAGATTGAATAGCGATGAAAGGGAAAAATTGTAATAAATAATCAATGTGTACCTTATTAAAAGGACCATAGAATTCCTTTTCCACGTTCCTTATAAAGAGGACTGGTGGGGGGAATAATCTTAGTGAATGGTAGGTATACGGGGGAAAAAGTTTAAATGGAAATGAGGAATATATTTAGAAAGAAAATGGAGTAGGAATTACTGTTAGTCTTTTATCCATATAAAATAAGTAAAATAAAACACTATTTAACTTTTAACTAGTTACCAAGTGACCGATTACCTAATGCCCTTGAGAAAATAATTCAAGGGTAGAAATGTTCTTTCACCTAATAATATACTTTACTATCAATTTTATATTTTACATAAAATATAACATATTGATTTATTCATTACAGTAAAACTCGAGTGATATTCTATAATTGTGCCTGTTTAGGTAACTTTTAAAAATATATTCAAACCATATTTGAGATTTTTTTTACCAAATTCAAAAAATAATTGAATCTCTTAAATAAACTTTTGGCAAATGTAAGCTAAAATTTGGCACTTTCATGAGTGGGTTTTAAATTCCATGTCCTCTAGACAAATAAGTCGTTTGTTCATATTACGAATTATTTGCAAGGTTGATATAGTAAAAGTCGTCCAAGTTAAGGGGGGAAAAAATAAAGTTCATAAAATAATGCGTCCAAAATAAAACCATTAACTCACAAGAAAACATGTTAGAATATCAAGAAAGATACAAATTGCTAACAGCTAGCTATCCAACACCTCCTCCCTGCACGTGAGGTTCAAACAGTTCAAACCCTGCTTGCATTGATTACTTTATAAATAAAAAGATGCAAGTCCAAACACTAACATTGAGCAATTGACAGTTTTAGGATACCCAAAGTCAGTGACAGTTAGTGCATAGAATTAAATTTCAAGTCTATGAAAACTCACTCAAAGCATTTAACTCAAAGTAAAATATTCTCATTACTGTATTTTTGCACCACAAGCATATAATTATTTTTAAATCTTTTAAATTTGGTACATGCAAACATCTTGTTAAAAAATTTCCAGACAAGCAGAACTAATAAACCTCTCGTGTATCAAACTTTGTGTTTTTACCCAGTATCCTAGACTTGTCCCACATCTAATTGAGAAGATTTAATGGAAGCACAAACTAACATGAATCGAGTCAGGTTAGGACCCTTTCAAGCGAAAACTTGTCACTATAGTTTCATTCCCAAGGTCCAAGTTCGATACCTATTTAAACTGGTACTACTCCTTGCTAAACCATCGGTGGTTGGATCAAACATAACTTTAGGTAAACATAAAATTGAGAACATTTATCAAGTGAAGAAGAAAAATAACTCAGTAATGATACTTGAGAACACAACAATGATAAGATAACTTGTTGCTTGTTGATTATAAAATAAAATTCTAACCAATAGGCAAAGATACTCAACAAAATAAATATTATGATTGCCTTGCTTGAAATGGTGAGTGGTCAATACATATCAACAAGCATACAACTATTTGGTCTCTATCCTTCCTGGCTTACTGGTATATTGGAAAGCTTCAATTTTATAGCCTCAAACTTTGAATTTTCTATCTCTTCACTACTTAACCAAAGAGGTAAATAGTGATCAATCAAGTCTTTTCCACAATTCAAGGGTGAACCTCCATTAAAAATCTGGGTTCTCCCAAACCTCATAATGCTTGCTAGATTAGAATCAGAAGGCTCTTCAGCATAACTCTCAAATATTTCCTGAATGGCTTCGCACCAGATTGGCCGAGCTACCTTAAGGAAGTCGTTTAAAACTAGCACCGGAAGGTTCACGCTTCCCAGTTCAGATTCATTGCGCCCTCCCGTCCCATGATAGTCTGAGCCCCCAACCTTGAAAAGCCCATAGGCATCTGCTAAGTCATCATATGCTGCAGGCCAGCATTCAAATATATCATAATGCTATGAAAAAAATTGATAAGAAAGTTTCAATTCTATTTATGCAATTAACATCATGAGTCATCCCCTAATATAAATAGCTTAGGAGAAGACGTGGTTAGAAATTCTTAGTTGTGTCCAATCACAATGACTGTATTACTTATCTTCATGCAAAGTAATCAGAATTATCTGGTCAGCGTTCCCATCAAAAGTTGGAAGTGATTTCATAAGGCATAGGTAATGAGATTTGAATAAACTAAAATATCAAAAGAAGTTTGACAGATTACACTAGTTGTTTTTCCTCTTCCACAGAGGACTCCAGTGGAAGAAGGAAAGGAATTGAGTGTTTCAAATAATGTATGATTCAACTTTGTTCTTTGGTGTTACACAGGTGGTTCAATTCCAACAGCTCAGCAAACTGCAATTATGATAGATGCCTAACAACAGAGAATCACCAGCAAAAGTTGAACCGGCTTACTAAGTTCAATTCTCTATCAAGCCACCCATTCTTGGTATTTAAGATTCAACTTATTGATAATCTGGAACCAATCTAATTTTTGTTTTATAGCGAAGCTGATAATCATGAACTATGCAGTTATATTATGATTTCAGCCTTTCAGCCCCATTTGCTTCAACTCCATAGGATTCCTAGGAATATCCTCTCTCATAATAATCATCATATTGCATATTTTTAGGATTTTATTCCGATGCAACGTTTCACTGACCATAACTGTGGGAACAGTCTCTTCCATGATAATCATCATTCCTTAAAAAATAAGAATCTAGATTCATGTTAGGAGAGGACAACTCCTTAAATGGTGCTTAGCTTTTTCAAGAGATTAGTCTCACAGTTGTCGGCTATGAGGATACCTTGGGTAACCATGAAAGGGGAAAAAAAGAATCTAGATTCATGGCCTTATACATGTCAATCCTTATTCCCACCTCTCTATTACTTCAATGCCCTCCTCGTACAATATTCTATCAATGATTATTATCATTTTAGTCCATTTTATTCTCTATCACCCTATTTCATTTCATTCCTACCTTTCTAGTTTCCAACAACCAAATGGACCTTCAATGACAAAAAATAGAGTAAAATTTACTTAAAGATTGAGAAGCAATAGTGTACCTGCCAATTTTCCATCACTTCTGTAGACCTCCATTCCATGTAGGCCAGCTTCTTTTAGCCTTTTGATAACAGGAACAGGATTTTTCAGAGCCCATGGATGAGCCAGTACAGCTACACCGCCTGTCTGACAGATCAGCTTTATTGCTTCCTCTGCCAAAGGTTCACTTCCCCTGAAACATAACTACCAAAATTTTTATTCTTTTCCTAAAGCACTAGCAAACAATATCATGTTGAGATTAAATTCTGTGACATTACGTGGAGTAAGCAGGTCCACCATCAAAAAGATATCGAGCAAAGGCCTGTCTGAGGTTTTCCACATAACCTGCTTCAAGCATAGCTCGAGCCACATGAAGCCTTCCAGGGGCAATCCCATTGCCTGCAATCCTGCAAACATGCTCCCACTTAAGAGGCAACTTGAGCTTGTTCAATTTTAAGACCATGTTCTTTGCACGAAGAAAACGACCATCCCTTATATTAGATAAGAACTTGTCCAGCTCCTCAAATCTAGTTGGTCCACAGCTACTGTAATATGCTAAGATGTGTACCGGTTCCTCTGCTTCAGAGTCTCCTCTGTGAGTAGATAGCCAATTAGCAATAACATATGAAGGATTATTTTGTTTTTCTATTATCTGATTACGAAAATGATAAATTTGAGAATTTCTAAAGAGCAATAATTGTGAATAACAAATATGTTGGAAAGTTACCTTGGAGAAAATATTGTGCTAATCTCAACACCTGGAATAATCTTGATGCCATATGTATGAGCTGCTTCTAGAGCCTCAGGGATGCCAGACATTGTGTCATGGTCGGTCAGAGCTAGAACTTGCACCTGTTACAAACAACATTGATTAAAAATGAGCACAATATATTGAAAAAGAAAGTATACTCTATGAATACGACAAGTTTAAACCAATCACATTTCGTTATCATAGGCAACAAGTCTTTCAAGTTAACTTGGACGGTATCTTGCATATGCACAACCTTTAAACCAGTAACAAAATGAACAAAGCATGCCAAAGATTCCTTAATTATTAAGACGGCCAGAGTAGTTAAATGCCAGGATATTTTGAAAACATTAAAAAGGAGACATATGCATTTATTCATTCTGATGAAGTTAATTCTTCAGTCATCATAATAAAACACTTGCACTCAGCTATGCACTAAAAAAAACAAAATATTAGGTTCAACTTCATGACAAGCCAATGTTTTAATTATATATGGATCTCAATTTCAAACCTATTTGCCACAGACTAAGCTTAAAAAAACAGAAAAAGGATGCAATCCTGGAAATCCTATATGCTCCAAGAACCTGCCCACATGAAAACATGTGCCAAAACAACCTTTACAATGAAGAACCTTCCCATGACACATATGCCTTGAACATTTTAGGAACAGAAGGGGGGAGCTACTTCTTCCATTTTACATCACATTATTCATAGTTTAATAAGTTCACTTTATCATAAAAGAGCTATTTGAATTTGAGAAGAGGACAACACATATTATGTCATATACAATGACTCCTCGTCCCAGAGAATTCTAGTTAGTCCCAAATATGCAACCTTACCATTACCAATGCCAACAGTTGAAGGAATAACCGAGAAAGATTCATGCTTTCCAAATTGATCTTTCTAGGTAAGGATTAGGAGTTCTTAGAAGAAAAACCCAAACTAACATAGAGAAGGACGAACCCTTTCGGCTACATTCTCAGTCTGACATATTATGAACATAACAATGCTATCCAGATTAGAGTTCATTCATGACACTACTTAGATAAGTAAACTATAAGAGAATCATATCAGAACATCTATATAGAGCCTTCTTATTGAAGAAAGCTTGTAAAATTCACTTCACCAAATCATAAAATACAACAGTAGAACTTCAGCAGCAACTTAATTACTCATACAGAAACTACAGAACACTTGCACCTCAGGTAATTGAACTCATATATAGAACCACACATTGTAGATAATCTTCCACAAAAAATGACAACAAAGCAAACAAAACGAGAAGAAAAGCAAAGAAAGTTACCCCATTTCCGTGAGCCCTCTCGACCAGCTTGGAAGGAGACAAGAAACCATCGCTGAATTTGGAATGCGAATGCAATTCAAACACAACCTTCTTCTCGTCGCGACCTGTTCCCATTACATTATTCTGCACCCCGTAACCATCATCCCCCGAACACGACGAATCAGAAGAAGGAGAAGGGTGATCCAAGAAAACCCATTCACTCACAGACTTGAAAGCGAGAGTCTGCTCAGTGGTCATCTTCTTCTTACTAGCCCCACCACGCTTCTTCTTCTTCTTCTTCTTATTCTTTTTCGTGTAGTCGTTCTTGGAATCATTGAGACCCTGAAGCGCGAAGCCATCTCCCATGACTGAAATGAGGATTTAGCCCAAAGGGGTGAAAAAAAGATGCAAACTTTTTGAGGGATTGCTGGTTCCTGAGGGAGGGATGTTGGCTATGGCAATACATAAGGAATGTGAGAGGATTGAATCATAGAGAAAGAGAGAAGGCAGAGAGAGGGTTTAGCTGAAGGAGCAGTCTTTTGAAGCACAGGTGTCGTCACTCGTCACCCTTGTTTCTCTGCTGCTCAGGAAAGAAATGAACGAGCGTACCCCAAATAATACTCTTTCGGTCTTTCCCTCTGCTATCTGCCACGTACGGCAAGTCGGCAAACCAATTTCATCACTTTCCCTTCGTTTTGTTTTTTTTTTCTGGAAACAACCTGCAATGAGAATTTACCTACCCTTTTTCTTTAAAAATATAAATTATTTTTAAATTAAATTTTATTTTTTAATAAAATTTTACTTATTTTTAAATTAATCTATTTTTTATATTTATTTTTATTAAAACTCTACAATAAATATAAAATTATTTTAATAGAAGCACTTAAAAAAATAATAATTATAATTATGCTTTAAAAAAAAAAAAAATAAAATGGGGGAGTAAGTTTTATTCTTTAATTTCAAAAAAATTTTTATTTTATCTATTATTATTTTATCTAATTCATTAAAAATTTATTAAATTAAAATAATATTATATTGATTGAAATTATTATGGCCAATTTTTATAATATTTTAATATATAAATATGTGTTACATTAATATTTAAAAATTTTTTTTTCTAAACTAAATTTTTTTTCTAAAAGTATACATTTTAATATTATTAATTAATTAATTATTGTATTTTTATTAAATTATATATATTTATAGTAAATTTAACTGAATTAATGTCAAGTTTTAATTTTACATTTACAATGATGTAGAAGTAATTAATATTTTTATTTTTCAAAATGTATGTGAGTTAAAAATTAATTTGTTGATAAAAACATAAGTCAAAATAAAACCTAATTGTTTCTCAATAAGAGGTTAATATATAATATTTAACTTCATTGTTTCATCGAAAAATCATATATTTACCTTCATTGTTGAGCTGCACCTGTCCATAGACGGCATTCTAAGTAAAACTTTTGTTAAATAAATATATAATGTAAAATGTATAATAAAAATTAGACTAATTTTCCTATGTACAAAAGATTAAGAGCATGCTCCTCACAACTAGTTTTTTTTTTTAAAAAAATCCTCATCTAAATTTACTCTATATACAAGGGCCGCGAGATAAATATAAATAACAATATAATCATATAACTTATTTGAAACTTTGAATGAAGCCTGTGAAGCCCATAAACGACCTGGTTTGATATCTAATTAACATATGGAATGTGAAAAAGAAGCAAATTTACTGAATCAGGTCATTTGAATTATAGAGAAAACAAAAGGAAGGAACTATATTTATGTTTTAACTAAAACTTTACATGATATTATAGGGAGACAAACATACACATATATGATTGGATGTATAGATAGGCAAGGTTTAAGTGAGTCCAAGATTCCTTTAAAAAAGGATAATGGAAAAGATTATTTGGGGGGTGGGGGGATTAATGTATTGACCAATGTTTACCATTCGTAGATGACGACCAGCAAAACAACAGAAGAAAAACATTGTGAAGAATAATAAAGCCAAAATACAGAGCAGAAAACATTAGGGGAAGAATTAATTATATTATTATTATTATATTTATAATAAGAACAGCAACAAAAGAGATAAGGATAGAGAATAGTACAAAGCATCCACGTTATGACAGGCAAAGCTGGGATGGATATATGACCATACGAGAGAAGACCAACATGAGGACTTAGGATTCTCTGACATTAATTAGGAAATGAGATTTTATATAATCACATCACATAGTACTTTGCAATTTTTTACCGCCACCTTGTCCTTTTTAGAAAGAGTTTCCCCCCTCTTTTTTTAGAAAGAGATAAAAGAAGGAAAAATGGCAATTAAGACCCCCAAATCAAAAAAAGTTTGCATGGAAGGCTCAATATGTTTTGAATTCATTTTACGAGCCCAAAGTATTTGGATATAAACATAAATTTTTGGTAAACAGATTAATTTGCTCCTCCTTAAAATGTTACAACATAATGTTTTGTATATAACATGACAAACCGTGTCTTCTAGCTTAAAAGTTGCTTGCTTTTTTGAAACTTACATAAATTTCAAGTATCATTTTTGTAGGGATTTTCAATTTTTTCATTCATTATTATTAACCACTTAGATGAATTGACACAAAAAATAATTTCAAAATAACTAGAAGACTCAATACTGTGCAATCAAAAAAAAATACACAAACAACTAACTCATCATTAGTTGTGTATCGAATAGGCTTTTTAATAGCTCTCCTCGAATGATCTTGAGTAGTAGAGGCATTTGGCTCTTAATAGATATCGAGAGCAGTATTAGTAATATCATTATATATTTAATCACGATTTCCTCCGTCAGAGCTTGATTCCATAATAAATGAAGGAGTGGTAGCTTTCACTCCTAACTCCATATTTTCACTATTTTTTTGCTCTCCTAACCTGCACTGGTCGAAGGAAAAATATAAGAATTTTTTTAAAAGAAATAATATATATTCATTAAATGTAAAATCCCTCTCCATAATACTTTATTCATACAAGAGTTAGATATTGTAATCGATATTTTTAGATTCGATCGTTTTAGCTTCAAAATATAATTGTACATGTGGCCTTCAAGCATAGGATTATCAGAATCTATCGGGCGCGCACAATAAATACCTTCCTTGAGTGACCCTATGTGCGATGTCCCTTGGATTCAGCAGTTTAAAACGCACAGTCCCCATAATAATTATATAAAAATAAATAAAAGACACAGATGGACCTGGTTGGGCCCAAACGACATAGGTCTGCAATAATATCTGTACATAGGGAAAAAGGAGGACAGTGGTAGTGAAGACGTACAGTACTTTACATGCAAGAAGACAGTAAGTAAGGTTTGACGATGACGACCGTTTGAACCATGCATGCACGCATGTATCTCGCCATTTCTAAGCTGTCTTCTTCGCCACAGGAAAAAAACAAACCCCTAAAAACAAGAAGAAGAAAACTTATAGTCCGGAGGATTTGACGGAGCTCCAACTTTTTTTTTTTAATCAAAATGTGACGTGATAACAACAAGTTGAGCATGTAAAAGATTTTACAACTAAATAATGAGATACCAAAAATATAAATATTTAATTATTGATAAAGATTTAGTGAGTCAATCAATTTGTGTATTTATTTATTTTTTTAAATATGTGATTAAAAGTGATTGATTAGTCTCGATACTAAAATCTCTGATTATGTTAATGATTGTAAAAAATGGATCATTAGTAAAAAACTCATTATGAATTAATAAAAGAGTTTTAAAGTTAAAGTAGATATTAAAAATGTTTAGTCTTTCCAAGATACCTATAAGTTCAGTTGCTGCATTTTGGTGGTATCCTTAGTATTTGGAGTAGCTTTTAATCTAATTTTTTGATTATCTTGAATGAGACTATGACAAGAAATTGCACCATGAATGTTGATGGAGCAATTTAGATATATCCAACCAACTCATCTTTTTTTTTTCATAGGAGAACCATTTAGCTTTTGTTCTACCCCCCTTCTAAGCTCCACCTAATTTGAATTGATTGAAAACAAATTCTTCCCTCAGAGTGAAAGTTTTAATATTATCAATTTTGTTGTATTCTCAAGATTCATATTTGAAATCACTAACAACTTTTTTATCAGTTAAACCAAACACATGATAATAGTCAACTTAATTTTTTTTATATCTGCTTTGGTTTCTCTTTTTTCCTTAGCATTTAATTTTGCTTGAATTCTTATCACATTAATAATCACAACAAATTAAACTCATATATAGACCGTCACCATGTAACATGTATATACAACATAACTCGATGTTAAGTCGTTTTTGCTTTTCCATGTTTTTCGTAGCTTTTCAGCGTTTCTTAGATCCGTATGTTACATAGCTCAGAATTAAAACAGCAGAGTGATAGAGGGTATGGCAGTACACAGCAGATACAGATTACGAATGCATCTTGTGATCCTACAAGTAATAATAAGGAGTCTTCCATTTCATAAGAAGAGACAATGTTATAAGTCTTAACCAATAGCTCTTTATGCAATAATATAATTTGAATAATATCAAGATCTAGAATAGCCTTTTGGGTTGACTAATTAACTAGCTAAAAGATGGCATGTGGGCATTTGGGCATGTGCTAAGTATTAATATATGTTAGTAGTTATGTTGTTTTAGTTAATGCATTGGTTGTTCATTCTCCTCAATCCTGAATCAAAGGATCATATCCATATAGTTCATAGACATTGTGTAATCTTAAGTTGTTTTTTGTTTTTGTTTTTAAAATAATTTTGCAGAGTAATTTCTTCAGACAAGTTTAATTTAGGAACGAAAAATGAAAAAAAATATATTTAAATCATTATTTTGAAAGACATATCTAAAGTGAAATAGAAGGTTAAAAATTATTTATTTATTAGTAAAACTGTCATTAACAAAAGCATGATGATTTTTCTGTCTTTTCTCCACTTTTTCATTGCGCAACATAACATTAAAAAAAAAATGTTCTGGTTTTTCAAACCTTCATAATAGCGTTTAACTTTTTTTTTTGTTTTTCAAATAAATAGTAAAAAACTTTGGCAAAATTATCATAATAATAATAAAAACACATTTTGAAGCAGGCTTTTTTTATTTTTTTATTTCTCTCAATAAAAATCTGTTCCAAAAACAAATAATCAAACATGCTCAATATTAGCTATTGTTTTTTTTTCCTCCATATATAGCAAATCTATCCCTTCTCTCTCCGTTCAGCTAGCTCACGTAATAATTAAATATGTAAAAAGGCTAGGCTTAAAAAAGATAAGCACATTTATTAAAAATTAAACTATTTTGGCCTATCCCATTTAGCCTAGCTAATTAAGGGGACTAGGCCACAAGGGCACGGGTCCGTCTTAAAATTTATGTTTAAGGTTTTAAAATAAACCCTACTCCATGGCTTCCCCTTTAAGTTATTTTTATATTAACTATTAATTATAAATAATAATTTGTGACTCTATCTGCTGTCTTTGGGTTGAATAAAAAATGTTAACAAAAGCGCTATATATTTAGCTGGAGTTTTAGATACCATTAAGGATGAGAAATCAATCCTAAACTTTGTTTGATTTAAAGGTAAATTACCAATCAAATATTTAGGCTTGCGTTTAAATTCTAAAAATTAAATGCAATTGACTTTGAGCCCCTTATTTTCTAAGATGTTACGGAAATTATGATACTGGATAGTTAGATATTTGAGTTATACAAGTCGTATACAATTGATAGCTTCAATTTTGCTCAGAATCAGAGGTTTGGAGCCAAATCTTTCCAATCCCTTTGAATGTTCTTTATAAAATTCAAGTTATCTAACGACAATTTTTGCGGTCAAGCAGGAAATCATGGCAGGAAAAATCTTATATCATGGGAAACCGTTCGTCAACTCAAAGAAAATGGTGGATTGGGATTTAAGAACTACAAAATGTAAATCCAATTAAAATTAACTTTTTACATAGTTGTTTTAGAACCGGTGTAGAAACATGTTTGGAAAGTACATAATTTTTACAAATGATGACATGAAGTCAATTGGGGGAGATGGGTAAAGGAATATAAATTAGAAAGAATGACAAAGAGGTTTTAAAAAGATTAATTAATTAAGTCTTAAGTGCCAAACCTCAGAAACTTATAAATTCATCTCTCAATTTTGTAATTATATTATGATGAATTTACAATTTATTTTTCAAATTTTAATATGGTTGAAGAATGAAAATTTTTGTGTTAAAATTTAAAATATAAATTACAAATTTATTATAATGCAATTACAAAATTGATAGATGGACTTGTAAATTTCTAAAATTTAACACTTAAATTTAAATTAAATTAATTGATTCTTTTAGGATTTTTTTTATCATTAATAGGCACTTCTATATAGATGTAGGTCCTAAACATCCAGAATCTTGATGGTGGCAGAACTTGCTTAAAATTCAAAATGAATTTATTGATAAGTGTACTCTAGATGATTATGACCTGCTGTAAAAATTGCCAAGTCTGTACTTAATGAATGCTATTATAGTGGCCGTTATACGCACATTGCTTAAACATTCATTTATTGTTTGGATATATTTTCTTGCATGGCAGATTGGCAATGAAGAAATGATTTTAAAGCGATTGAATCTTTTGCAAGATGATATTTAATTTGAAATTTTGTGAAGATCACCTAGAAAACACCTTAACGCTTATTCTTTGAATGTACTATATTACCTGCTGATATTTTTAAAAAGTTGATTGGTTATGTTGATTTTGATAGTGGCAACATATTTTTGTGCAAACTAATTAAGGAAAAACATAATAGGTTGGTATATAAACTGGTGGCTATGTTCTATGATGTGATCTTTGCTATTTGGTAGACTAGGAATGAATGCTTTGATTTTTCAACAGGAACTACCAGAAATATAGTGCTCAGAAATGTCATAGAATTGTACATGGTATGAAAATTAAATGGAATTGTTTGTTAGTATGGAGAAATAGGATGTTTGGTAGAAGATTTAATATTTCATATTACCCAATATGACTTTAAGGAAAGAGAAAAAAGATTAATATTAATTTTGGACTGTTTAACTAACTAAAACCATTCTTGTCTAACTCTTGGGAAATACCAAAGATTATGAAGGGAGGGTATATATCCAGAAAGGCGAGTCTTGTGGCTGCAGAGGCACGTTACATGTGGACGTTGACAAATTTAATTTGAATAATCTCACTTAAATCCCTAAAAAAAGTACCAACCTATAAAATATAGGCTAAAATGCATCCTTAGTATTTTAACTTTACACAAGATTTAATTTTAGTTACTTAATTTTATAAAATATTTTTTTAATCTTTTAATTATAACATTATTAGTTTCATCCACAAAAATTTGCACTTTTAACTTTTAAATATTATCAAAACATTTTCAGGTATTGATATATTATGTTTAATTTTTTTAAAAAATAACAATGATTAGTAATAATAATTTGAAACTAACAATGTTAGGGTTAAAGAAGATGCTTGACCAAATTAAAATCTTGTGTAAAATTAGAAGATAAAAAATATATTTTAATCTAAAATATATATACAGGAGTAATAGTCTAATATAATAATACCTAATAAATACAAAAATATTCTCTAATGAATACATGGATACGTGCAAATCAACACAGAATAAATCTCAATTAATGATATACATTAGTTTATTTTCTTAAACTACATTGCACAAATTAAAAATATTAGGTTTATCAGCTTTGGGCTCTACAACTGTTCCAATTCTTATCTCTCGCTCTCTGTCTCTCTCAAACATCACTATCATGTCTTTTCTTTTTCCATGTTTGTTCCATGCGTATTAACTCTGTATAACATCAACAATAATGGCTTCCCCCAATTATGAAACCCTAATTTCTGGGTCAAGTATGTCTGTCAGTGTGCCTCAGCAATGTTTCCATATTTATACTTGGCCTGTGGGTGAAGACAGAACCAATATATTTTTTTAAAAAAAGTCACAGAATATAAAATTACAGAGATAAACATGAAAAAGTACTCTGAATTCCAAAATTGGTGTGAGAGAGTGGTGTTTCACTTTCTGAAAATTGAAGGACTGTAATTGTTGCCTCTGGTCTGCAATGCATTCCACATCAATTATGAGATATTTAATTAGCATATATAAATATAATTTTTATTTTCAAAAAAAAATAATTCTTTAGGTTAAATTGATTTATAAGCTAGACAAAATCATCTAATGCAACCTGAATGTCTATATCCATTAATGTCTATACACTTGTAAAAGCATTAATTAATCACCTTAAAAGTTCCAAAAGAGCCTAGTGAATTATTAGGATACAGTTCATGCACATCTGCAATTAACAGATTTTAGTGACATTAAATTCCATACATCTTAATATTGTTGCTATTGCATATCGTGGGATTCCCTTATGAGGATTATTATTGTATTCTTCTTTGCTGCCTCATCAACCATGTGCGTTATAATTGAAATAATTGTAAGGGTAAAATAACATACCACTCCAGAAATGTAATTTAAGAAGTATAATTATTGTTCAGCCATTGTGAAAAGTATCTGCACAAATATAATACAATAGATAACCTTAAAATTAATTTAAAAGATGAGTTGAGATATTTCATTAAAGATATAAAAAACAAAAGCATTGTGGGGGGGGGGGGAGACTAGAGCACACAATTTTTTAACATAAAAATCTCCCTGAATGTAAAAGATAAAAACCTCGAGACTTAGTCCAGAAAAAGAATTATTATAAGTGGTGTTCACAACATTTTCTACAATCAACCCAAGCCTGCTCAAGTTTTTTTTATGGATAACAATTCAACCGCTAATCACAATCCAATCCACACAGTCAAAATCACCACAATGATGATACACAAAACATAAAATACATACATAACAACCCAACTAGCAAATTTGACACGGTCTTGGAGTTTTATTTTTTTTTTTTTATGTGTTTTCAGGACACTTAAAAAAAGTCTTCAACAGTCAAAGCTTTTGCTCATGCTTAAGCTGAACTCCTAGCGGCAATGAGGTTTTCTTCAAATTGGCTAGACAAGAAGACCATTTTGTGTCCACAATCTCTAGTTCATTCCTTGCTTTTATTTGGTCTTTCATCATGTGAGACCTTTCTTTCTTCACTGCTTCCAACTCCTTCATAAATTCAATGGTGTCTGCAACACTCTTCTTCTTTTGCCCTTGAAGAGATAACAGTTTGATCTCACACTCTTTGAGCCTTTTTTGAGCCTCAACCATAGAATTCTCGGTCTCGTGAATTTCAGATAAAAGAGTCATGGCTGCTTCTTTTCGTTGCGAACCTTGTTCATTCATAAGCTTTCTTTTTGTTCAAGCTTGGTCACTGTGTCAATGGTATCATTGGCTTGCTTGAAGGAAGACAGAATAGCTTGGATTTCTTGTTGCAAAGAGTGTATTGTAGCTTTAAGGCCATCATCAGAATAATGAGAGGACAAGATGTTGAGAGAATTCTCAAGGCAAAGTCTGCTTTCTTCGGAGTTAGCTATTTCATTCAAACTCATCTTTAACGGCTTCTAAGTTAGCAAGAGCATCATCATCTTCATGAGCAGCAATTTTAGATGCAGAAGGCAAGTGAACTTCCATGTCAGCACCTTCCTCCATTATCTTGAATAATTTCATTAGATCATCATCTTCAAGTTGTTTAGACACATAAGGCTTGCAAGTCTCTGCTTCAGTGACCTGAACTTCATCCTGGAGTGAATAAGAAGAAACAAGCATTATTTTTTACTAATACGATCCAGTAAGAAAATATGATCTTTGTTTCCATGTTTCATATAGGACTCTAAGCAATAGGAGCAGCGTTTCATGTAAATGGTTAATCAACATAAACAATGCATAAACTATAAACATACTTGTGCAGTTTCAGTAATGTAAGTATCAAATAGGTCTGACTGTGAGCTCTCTGGCTCTATGTGAAGCTTCTCGGGAGTAGAAATTCAAGGGATCTAATAAGACCAGAAAATAGAAAATTAATGTCAGCGAATGTCAGTAAAGTAGTGGAAAAACATGAATGGAGGGAAAATTGAAAGAGTAATTATTTATACTAATGATGAACTTGTTCCAGTAGCAGTTGATGAAATTGCCATTGCAATTTTATTTGATGTTTCTGTAACACTTGCTTCAATAATCTGCAAAGCACTGAATGACATTAGATTCATGTTTCTATGACAGTAAAGCATTAGAATATATTCTTTTGTAGATTGTTAATTAACCTTTTGTGAATCATCAGGATGCATATCAGATTCTGTTTTCGTAAGTGCTTGTTGATCCAATGTGATTTTCTTGCCCTTGCCCTCTTGGCAAACCAAATTATCCTAGATGTACATAGATTTGCAAAATCAAGTTGATCTTAAATGTTTTGACGGAACATATTCAAGGGAAAATTCCGAAATGTATGCTCTTCGCGGATGATATAGTTCTTATAGCAGAGACAAGAGAAGAGGTTAATTGCAAACTTGAGTTATGGAGGAGGACATTGGAGTCGAAAGGTTATTGTCTGAGTAGAAGTAAGACGGAATATTTATATTGTAAATTTGGTAAAGGATTATTTGACAATAATTTGGAAGTGAAATTGGGAGATCAAATTATACCTCAAGTGGAAAAGTTTAGATATTTGGGAGCCATTATTCAAAATGATGGCGAAATCAGTGGAGATATTTCACATAGAATTCAAGTTGGATGGTTTAATTGGAGAAAAGCTAAAGGAGTTATTTGTGACCGTAAGGTGCCTAATAAACTTAAAGGAAAGTTTTATCGCACTCCTATCAGACTGGCAATGTTATATAGTAGTGAATGTTGTGCTCTAACGGGACAGCAAGAGCATAAAATTGGAGTAGCAGAGATGAGAATGTTACAATGAATGTGCGGACATACACGTAAAGATAAAATTCGAAATGAGCACGTACGCGAAAAAGTGAGGGTGGCACCTATTGAGGAAAAAATGGTAGAAAATCGGTTGAGATGGTTTGGGCATGTACAAAGAAGACCAAGGGAGGCACCAGTGAGAAGAGTGGAATATATAACTTTGAGTCCGATTAAGCGAGGTAGAGGAAGGTCTAAGAGAACACTCTTGGAAGTTATTGAACGCGATCTCTTAATTAATAATATTCCTAAAAGCTTGATAAATGATAGAGCACAATGGTATCTTATAATCCATATAGCCGACCCCACCTAGTGGGATAAAGGCTTGTTGTTGTTGTTGTACATAGATTTGCAAAAAGCACCATAAAGTTGTATCATTGAGCAAAAATTCAACCTGTATAATGAAGGACTATATTCTTACATGTGGATATTCTTTGTCTGGAGGAACAACAAATGCTGTTGGCGATGACTTGCTTGATTCTGGAATCATGATTTGATTTGGTTTGATAGCTTCATCTGATTTAGAACCTTCATGAGCATTTGCTGGCTTCGCTGTTTCCTTTGTATTTTGGTTCATAGCACAAAAGAGTAAATTAGCTTGCAGTCAATTCTAGTGCCATTTCTTCAGCAACAATTTTCCTTACTAGCTAATTAAATTTCACAAGATATAACCAAGTGAAGGTGTTTGCTGGGGATTTGCTCTTAAAATATTTGAATCAGATGATGGAGTTATCATCACTGGTATACCAGAAATATGAACTTGTTTACAATATGTCAATGCAGAGAGAAAGTTTTTGTTGTTCTTGCAAGTCTATTTCATATTAGGAGAGTGTAAAGTAAGATAACTTTAGAATGCAAGTGTTTTCAAGCTGTGTTATAGTCTAAAATCAGTCACTCAAAATAATGCAATAAAGTATAAACTTACTTGAGAAGATGCTGTATTGGAGGAAGAATCTGATGACTTTGATTGTGAATCTTGAGAAAGCAAATGACGTTCTCTTTCACTCTACATGAACATGTATGAATATTCAAAAGAGGCTGAATAAATTTAATTCATTAATGTTGTAGTGTAAAAGATGATAATATTACTTGTGGAGATTCAATTTGTGAAGGACCAGCAAATGGTGCTGGTTTGTTAGTTTGTTCTGAATCATTGATTTCATTACTTGCCTCTGCTGTTTCCTTAATCTGCAACATAATAGACCACAAAGAAATAAAAAATTTGGAAGGAAATAAGAGGGATATAGATTATAGAGAAGCAAAACACACGTACGTACGTTTAACAGATCTGGTGAGATGTTGCTCTGTTCCGCTCTTGATCGGTCTCTCCCTTGAACTCTTTTTGATGCTTCCATTTCCCTCTAAACAATAACACCAGAGATATAAAGAAATGAAAAGAATTGAGGTCATTAATAAATATGGTAAATGTTAGAAGAGAAAAAGGAAAAAGTTGTGAATTTACTGAATTATTAACTTTTAACTCTCATTGATCTCATGCTTTAATTGGCGAGCTTTTCTTTGTTATATTTTAGCTAAATTTGGTGTAAGAATGATCGATTGTTGTCTCCCTGTGCTCTCTCTCTTCATTTGATGGACTCATTTTATTTTGGTACTTACCTCCACAGCATGGTCAATAAAATCATATTCACCAAACTTGCCCTCGTTAATCTCGGAATTTTCTAACCAATCATAATATCCTAACCAAGCAAAACAATTCAAAATGTTATCATGAGAAAAATCATAGCAAGTGTAAATAATTAATTAATCTTTTAGATGCTTACTATCAACCAGCATATTATCAGTTGAAGTTAAAGAGATATTGGGGCAGGCTTTTACTTGACGCGACGCCACTGTCTGAAAATCAATTCCAGGGCAGATTTTATGAAGGTTTGGTAGATTTATAAACATTATTATAAATAATTTTGGAAACACTTCCTGGATGACCAACTCCCTTGTTGAGCCCTGCTTCCATCCAAATACTTGTTTAAGCTGTGGTGCATAATTTATCACCAATATCAAGAGCTGTGGAAACATACCACTTGTGGAGACAGAGAATAGCCATTTCAAACTCTTGCACTTTTCCACAATAATCCTACGTAGATTTGGGAAATAACATTCTTGCTCATGCGGATCGGTATTCTCTTTACCATCATCATCCTCAATGATGCGCTCTAGCTCTTCACATTCAAATACATCTAGGTGTCTCAAATATGGTAGGCTTCTCGAGATAGATGCAGGAAAGATAAATTTCAATTGTTTGCATCCATTGATTGTTAGCTGGAAAAGATTTTGACAGCTCAGATAGTTCTTTGGCCCCACACATATGTTCCTTAAGTTATGCAGGTGCTTCAAACTCAGGGTTTCCAAACTTGAATTTACAGGACTTGCAATTTCGAGTCTCTCAAGATCATAAATTGTTTCCATGTCCATCTCTGAGAAAGCGAGATGTTTCAAATCGTACAAGTGCATCCCGATTATCATCTGTGTCGTAATATATTCGATTAGCATCAATCGATCATACACTAACTAGTAGAAAAACAGTTGATTGGTAAGAGGATTAAGTAATTACCTTTTTTCTTGAGAGTTTTTCTTGTCCTTTATGCCCATCAACTGATAAATCTATAAAAGAATTTATATGGAGTTGTGGACATGTTGATTCAAAAGAGATATCATTTAGGGAGGGTGCTGTCACATAATAGTTTTCAGGGCACATACTGACCATATTTAGTACTCCTTGAAGACATAGTTTGGTCAGAGCTGGGAGATGAATCTCAACATCGTGATCGTGGTAATCAAGTGAATGATCATGATCACCATAAGATTTTCCAAACACATATTTCAACTTACGAGCCCCAATGATACTCACAGATTGCAAATGCATAAGGTCAATAGAACAAGAAGCTGGAAATATAGATTCCAACTTGTCACAATTTATGAAAACAGAGTGTAAGTTGGGGAAGATAGACTTGGCATTCAAATGATCATGACCACAATTCCCCTCATCAATTACTATTTGCTTCAGTGCATCACACCATAGAACATTCAATATTTCCAAAGATTTCAATGATGAGGCAATGGATATAGTAAACAATGACGTTAACTCGGTAATTTCTATGATGTTCATCTCTCTTACATTGAATGGGTATAAGGGTAGAGTAAAAATTCCAAGAGCTGTATTCCCAACATATTTCTCCTTCTTTAACACCTGCATTCCACATAAATATGTCATTTTATCACCTTCAATAAATTAATAAAATTGTATAAGTTAAGTTGTAAATATTTTATTTTTTTGGTCTTCTTATAAGAGTTGCAGGTCCAAAAGAAAATAGACGAGAAAGTGTGAGGGAGAAAGCATTATCATTTCAATTTAAAAAAAAAAAAACTGATTAAAGAACTTTTGTCCTCCCTTCACATCTAATTTAATCTTTGCTATGTCTTAGCTACTATATTGCTTGCAAATTATTAAGAATTTGAATTTCTAATATCCTAAATTCTTCTCAATCAATTAAAAGAAACAATGAAGAAAAATTTAATTTTTTTCAAAAAATATGTTCGAAAAGGCTCGTGTCAGTTACATGAGGAAAAGTGATTCGTAAATGTCCTGCACCCTGTGGCACGTTTATGGACAAATTTTTGTTATTTGATTGTTATATATATATATATATATAAATAAAATGCTTCCTTTTTGCACAAAATAAATGATTTATTTCATAGACATCAACCATGAGATTATTGAATGAAATTGTATAGATTGAAACATGAACAAACAAAAAATTAAATACCATATTAATATGTTTGATATAAATTATTCAACAAAACATATTCAGACGATTTATTCAAGATCATGAAGCTTTTTTAATAGAGTGACTTAGATGAAGGGTCAAAAAGTAATGTTTGTTCACACCGTTCTCACAAATGTAAACATTCATCAACCGATGTCCCAAATCTTTATTACAATACTACTTACTGAATTCATCTTTAATAAATTTAAAATATGCATGTATCATATTTTATTTTATTTTGTTCGTTTGTCCCCTTGAAAGGAGCGCAACACCATAAGAGGATGTGATAATATGAGGGATGAGACATTTTAATTTATTTTAATTTTTAAAAAATTATAGCCAAAGAATTTTTTTTCTCATTTCTCATCTAACTTAAATTTTACTATATTTCAAATACTATATTAAAAATTATTAACAGATTGAAACTTGTAAGTTTGATATGAAAAAAATAACTTGCAAATGTCCTGCCCCAAGCTACACATAATAGACAAAGTAACTAGAACATCTTATTTGTGATGTAGAAAATCAATTAATTAATTCTTAATGCAAAGAAAAGCAACATTAATAAAAAGTGAGAGGGAGGAATAGGTATTTGTACCTGGGAAGTAGTGGTACCTGACTTAATTGCTTGGGATGACATAGATGGATCATTTGCATCTGTAGTGCTTGATTTTGGCAGAAAACAACAAAAAGGACCCCAAGAGACATTGTGACACGGACTCTTATCTTTTACTTTTGACACATCACTTGTATTTGCTGTTGAGTTTTTTGGTAGACAACATTCTGGATATATGCCCGCAAATGCTGGAACATCCTTAATAGACATTACTTTCAATGAACAAAGTATGGTTTCATTTTGCATTTGATGTAACCCTTTCTCTCCTGGATATTGCCCAAATATGCATTTTATCTGGCGACACCCCCAAATCTCCACACTTTCTAGTGAAGGAAGATCTTCACACAAACAAATTGGCAATATGAATTCCAATTTTTTACACCCTGTAACATAGAGGTGTTTCAATTTGGGAAACAATGATTCATGACTACTCTTTGGATTAGGATCTTTATCATCCACTTTTTCCTTTATCGATGATCCCTCGCCCCTTATTATGTACTCCAGCTGAAAACATTCACTGATCTTTAATGTTTCTAGTTGCTTTAGAGTTTGAGCAGTGGAAGGATGAAAAAGACATGTTATTGAACATCTCATTATTTTTATAGACTTAAGGTTACCCAGTTCTAGCCCGCCCTTAAATAATGTGCCTTCCAACTGTAGACAATACTTTAACTTCAACTTCTCTAGTTGCTTGAGAAAGCGAGTAGGATAGCAACCACGACATATTTCTGTTACATCCACATCAACAAGTTGCAATTCAACTAACTTGGAGAAGATAATCGCACCAAATATAAGTTGAAGATTCTCAGCATGGATCAAACACTTAATCTCATGCCAAGAATTCAAAGAAAGCTTCACTAGGTCTTTCATAGCTCCATCTTCAATTGAAACAATGCCAGGAATAAGATTATTCCGACCAAACTCAATATCTCCTTTCAATTCTAGAATCTCTGCTCTTGTTGCTAATGACTTAATCATTTCTTTGGAGAATATCTTTTGTAGCTTGGCTGGCTTAAAGCTTTTTTTGATTGAAATATCCAATTGAGGAGAACAAAAATCAGAGAAGTCACCACCATTTATATTATATCTTTGATATCCTGGAAGGAATGTAATTTGAGAAACCTCTTCATTCTTGAGCATATGATCCTCATTCAAAACATAATGCAATTCTTCTAATTGTGAGCATCTAGCAATCACTTTAAATGGATTATTCCTTTCAATCGAGCAATGTACCAAGCCTAAATGTCTCAATGTTTTAAGCTCACTAACTCCATTAGGTAGTTCAATTATTAAACAATTAACCAATTCCAGAGTCTCAAGCATTTGTAAGTTTTTGAGCACAGATATATCACCTAATTCCCAATTGGTAAGGGACAGGGTTTTGATATTTTCTAGTGACTGAATTGATTTTGGCAATGACAAAGCTAAAGTTCTCCCAAATTCAATCTTAGAAAACAAAAGCAACACCTTAAGACTCTTCATACCTGTGAAGAATTTGCTTGGAACTTCCAAAGAACCAATTTCATTGATCCATATTAAGAGAACCTCAAGTTTACTCCCATCAAAACAATTGGAGAAGTCATTTATGATCCAAGTTGAATATTTCATATTCTCCTTCAATTTTTGCTTAGGATCCATGATTACTTGAACCTCTTCATTTGCCATCTCTAAGGTTACTTCACGAACTACATCATGCATCTTTACACATTCTTCACCAGCCTTGAACAATAAAGAAGAATTTAAGAGTTTGTCTTTAATCACAGGCACTTGACTTCTTGCTCTATTATATTTGTCAACTTCTCCGAAGAGCCCTAAGCCTATAGTAATTTTGCTTAACAGTTCTACAGGTATTTTATAAGATTTTGGGAATACAGAACACAACAGGAAGATAACTTGGGCTTCTTTATCTTTTAGATAAGTATAGCTAAACTTGAAAGAATTATAAAACCTCATCTCATCTTCATCAACAATCTCATGCCTTGATGGTTTGGTACTTCTTAGTGATGTCAAAGCATCGTGCCATTCTTTTGCTGGACAATCTCTAAAGATTCTTGCCACTGCTACAACTATAATTGGTAATGTTCCACACTCATTTAGAATATCCAGTGCCACTTTCTTCAAATCGTAAGGATAACTTTGACCAATTTTAATAGCATGAAAAAGGAAAAGATACAACGCATCATTCTCAGGTGATAAGGCATCTAGTTCAATACTCTTTTGGCAACTCATTTTGAAACAAATGTTTTGTGAACGTGTAGTTAGTAAAATAGTACAGGAACCTGTGCGATGGAAGCCAGGCCAAATCCCTATGTTCTTAAGATTGATTAGTTCTTCCCAAACATTATCAAGAATTATGAGTACCTTTCCAGCATTTGCAATCTCAGTCCATATTTGTTGTGCATGTGTTAATCTCTCCTCTTCCTTTAACTTCAAGTCCAATTGCTTTGCAATATCATCTCGTATATGTTTTTCATCAACAGGGGCAGATGTGGTAACGAAGATGACTTTACCAAAGGGTTTTGATTCAACTTGTTGCCCAGCTTCGATCACCATTGTGGTTTTCCCTATTCCTTGTACCCCATGCAATCCAATCGTATGATTATCTTTGCCTTTAAGTTCCTCCAAAAGCTGTTCAAATTTCTCCCTTCTACTCTTAAAATGCAGAAACTGATGATCTCGTGAAAAATATGCCACGCCTGTAGTTCTTATTTTGGCTTCTATTTCATCTGACAGCCTTTCTTTTCTCTCTTCAACGTCTTCATCAGCATGACTCTTTTGACAACACAAATACTCAAGTTCCTTCATTCCTAAATCTACCAATCTTTTGGCACATGTTGCAATGTTAGCCCCACACTTCGGCATCTAACATACATAAGAGATTACAGTTACAAAAATATATAACTAGACCAAGATACCTAGATTACATAGCTAATCTAAGCTAAGATTTCTTAAACATGCAAGAGAGATCGTCTATAATGTTGCGGATCAACTATCTTGAAGAACATGCTCTGAATGAATTAGGCATACTATCTAAGACCAAGATGCCTAGCTAGATATATAAACACTCTTGCTGTAAAGTAAGATTTCCATGACAGGCAAGACAGATCATGTATAGAGTTATCTCACATTTTATAATCCTACGATTTATAACTTGAATCTCCTTAGGAATCGGAATGCCAAGGTTTAATGGACCATCAAAACATCCTTATTCATTCCCATTTCCTTGGCCTAAGGTATATACCACTGGCCAAATGGATCCATAATTCTCACACATCCACTTGATAATTTGCAGTTTGATCAACTAATTGAAGATGCTTTGCATGGATTAGCTAGGCTTATTAGAGGCTCTAGCTTCAGCTTGACTAAAAAAAAAAAAAGGCTTGATTATAGGCTCATACTTGAAGCCTCTATATATTACAGGCTCACACTTATTTGGTCAAAACCTGACCTGGCATGTTCTTCATCCCTAACTCGATATATGAAAGTTTTGTAACTTTAGGGAAATATGTAGCTATCTTGTGGGGATCTCATTTAATTTTGGGCATTAGGAAGCTTTTGCTTCAGAAGTGAGATATTTTTATAAAGCCTGTGAGATGTGAAGTCTTTGTGCGTGCTCATTCCATGGCTAGTGCCTTTGTTAGTCTATGGATATTCATAATGAAGGGGTCATCAAAGGTCTGTCCACTAATATAATAAGAAATGAAATTTGTGACAGAAATAAAAAAAATATTCCGTGACAAATTTTATATTTTGTTACCATGAGATGGTATATTTTGTTTGGTGGATATCTTTATAAGGTTCTTTAGAAAACTATATACTAACCCTACAACTTATATATATATATATATATAGGACAAAACTTGCTCTAATGATAATGTACTAGTAATTTTGGCTATGTTTCAAATCATTCAAATTTGATATTTTAATTTCCACCTAATTTTTGACTCTAATATGGTCTTCATTAGACTGTGTTTCCAATCATTGGATGAACCCAAAATATTTGAAGGAAAATATTTTTTAATGATGAAACATAAAAAATTATGACTACTACTAATTAAAAGAATATTAATAGATCTAGAGTTAGAAATATTATATTTTGTCTAACAATATATATGTAAAAAGTTTTATCAATTTTTTTTTTAAAAAACACAACTATTTTCAAAGATCATGAAAAGACAAATGATGTAAAGAACATAATTTGAGAGACAAAATGTTTGAAGAAGGGGAAAGAGGGGAAGAGAAAATTATATAATATATATATATATATAATCAGATTCTAATTGGCAATTAAAAAAGGAAAATTATAAGATAAAAAAAATTAGATGAAATGTAAAGGAAATTGGGAGACTGGAAAAGCAAAATAAAATAATTAAAGGAAAAATGTAATTTTTGATCCTTGAATTTAGACTTAAAACAACTCTATTGTTATGAATTCTACTTATCTCATACTTCCTCCGTTCAAAAATCTAAGGTATTTTTAATTGAATCTCACTCCTCAATAAAGTAGTTACCTACTTTCAAATTAACCTTATCTTTTCATATTTTTTTCTATTAAATATTTTATAATAAATATAAAATCACTATCAATAGAGGTACTTTTGGAAAAAAGCAATGATTTCACCTCAAAAGACTAAAAATGTCTTATATTTTTTAACATCTAACTTCTCAAAAAATACCTTACATTTTTAAATGAAGGGACTAATATTTATAAAAGTGGAGGTGGAATAAGCTGTGATAACCCATAATTTTTAAGAAAAATTTAAAAGAAGTAATGATATATTTTAAGAGTATTTTTGTTAGTTTTGAGAGCAAATTTAGCAAGAAGAAGAGCTGTTTTAGTGGAAATTATGCAATCAATTATTTAATCGGTCCACAGTTCAAATCTTCCAGGGCCAACGGTGAGAAATTTTATCCTTTTGCCAAATTATCATTTTGCCCCTATTAAAAAAATAAATAAATAAAAGAAGGCAGACACGCAGGGGCATTATTCATTTTCATCCTCTGCTTCCTCATTCTCTCGATCATTCCAGTGAGGTGAGAGTGTCGGCCCTTCTCTTGAGATCTCCTCGCCCTCTTCCTGTTTTCGATCAGCTCGCCGGCATGCTTAAGAGTGTTCGCTGTGGTTCCTCGTTTCTTTCTTTTCTAGCCACTGTAACAGATCGAAGCTTCCTTCCTCCTGTCATCGCCGGCGTCATTTGTGAGAAGAGGAGGTCGCTGGAGACGGGGTGCATGGACGAGCATCTTGTAGCTGCTGTCGGAGGTTGCTATCAGTCTCCTCTTTTCCCTTCCTCCATCATAACTATATCCAGGAAACAGAATTTTTCCCTCCCCTGTTCTTCACTGTGTTCTTCTTCTTCCTCTTTTGTGCTGTTGGTGGTTTGTGGGGGTAAGAAGCTTTGATCTCTCACTTCTTTGTTGCTGCGTGATATGTTTATGGGTTGAGATTGTGAGTTTTTCCTCCATTTTCCGCAGAACCGTGAGTAGTGCAAAGTGGAAATTTGATTTCTCTTGAGTATAAAAAAAAAATTATTATATGTGCTGAAGGATTTAATTAGGAGAGTTGGATTATTTTAATTACTGATATTAGAAAATTTGAGAAATGAAATTTGAGGGAAAGGAAGTTTGGTAATTGTTAGAGGATTCATGCTCACAAGATGTTTGATAAAATGTCCCTTAGGAGAATTTTACTTGATTTTATATGTTTTTTTTTTTGAAATTTCATTAATTATTGTGAGAAGTATATTTAGTTGGGTGTCATTGATCCATGAATTTAACTTGTAGGTTGCAAATTAAAGGAATTTGATTATGAACTTGTATGTAAATGTTTAAATTTTTAGGGATAGTATGGTTATTGATAAATTGTTGGATAAAAGGTGAAAAGTTAAAGAATTCTAAGTGTATGGTCGAAAATAATGCACAAAAAAAAAAATGTTTGATACAAAGTTTAAGAGAAGTAAATAAGTTGGTATGGCTAAAGTATTATGGAGGAAATTAGTGACATGAATGATAATATTTCGACATTGTTATTTGTAAATCTAGATTGTTTCTTTTCCTTTTTGCAAAGGATTTTATTTAAAAAGTTATTGAGATCTTATCTGAACTCTAGATTATTGGGAATTGCAACGTTGAAACTTTGTAAAGTATATTATTGTTTTAGAAGTCATACTTGGATGATTGAAAATGGTTGGGCAAGAGAATTAAAGGTTATATGTTTTATTGAATTGGATTGGAATGTTGCACATTATATGTTTGGTAAAAATATATATATATATATATATATGTTGCTAAAACTTCAAAGTTTTTATTATTAATTTTTATTGAGTGGATTCTCTTCAAAAGAGGGACTAGTTGGTTCAAAAGTAAAGGCCATTAAGATCTTATTATATTTTATAGGGTGATTATAAGAAGGGTAACTCGATTGGAGTTGTAAGAAGTGAATTTCAAACATTGAAAGCACTACAGGTAAGTGGATAGCGTCCCAACTGATGTTTCATTAAAATCTCCTTTATTCAAATATTACATTTTTATACAAATCCTTTTTATAGCAACAATGTGATTATTGGATATTTTGTTGATTAAAGTATTTTATTTTTGTGAAGTTATCTTTACCAGATTTGATAATTTTATTTTATCAAATATTGGATTGATACAGAGAATGATTCTTGCGAGTTCAACTTTAAAATTTTTTGATTATTTGATAAAGGCAAGCATGAGCGTTGGATATGAAATTTTATTCTGGAAAGTTTCAATGCTTAAAAGTATTCATGCGAGTTTGATTTTGAGAATGAGAACTGTATCTTGAAAGTGATGATTTTCTCGCATGTTTGAAATGATTTTAAAAAGGGACTTTATATAGAACACTGGTTGCTAACGGCAGGTCCGTTAGCCCTTGGCGCGCCATGGTACACCTAGCTAGCAGGGTGTTTATAGGAGGTGCTAGCCCCGTGCGATGGCCAACGCACGTGGAATGGAGGGATGGTTATTCGTGAGCATCGTACTCACGTTTGATTTCGTGGCTTTGAGCCGCGTTTGGTTATCATTACCCTCGTGGATTGTGTGTCCACGTTTGTTTCGTAGCTTGGGCTGCGTTTGGTTACTTATCCTCGTGGACTGTGTGTCCACGTTTGTCTTCGTGGCACAAGCCGCGTTTGGATTATTTACCCTCGTGGACTATGTGTCCACGTTTGTTAATTGTTCTGATAAGTCCCTATAATTATAAATTTGATCATTTGGTGATTTTATATTCCGTTGATTTTTATTTAGTAATTTATTTACAAATATTTATTTCATTTATGTGACTTCTTAAAAATCAAGTGATATTACCATTTGCTATGATAGTTCAATGGTTCAAGATTTTATTCAAAATTTTATAGAATCATTTTATTTTAAAGTTTATACATTTTTTAATGGAAATTGTTGTCCCTTTAATTTACATGGTTATTTCAAACTTTTCTTTTTACTCATGTTAAATTATTTATTGTTGGGACGTTATTCACTGGAAAATTTTTTTTGGTCTCAGATACCTTAGTTGACGTTGATCCTCATGCTGATCTTGAGAGCTGTTACACATGCTGAGTGGAGAGTTCATGAAAGTCCCTCCTTTTGATGTAATGTCAATTTATGTATGTTTCACTTCAAAAAAAAAATAATATAACTAGATGCTCCACATAGACTATAGCTAGGGTTTTTATTTAATATATATATATATATATGCTGATTGCTAGTTGGGAGGAGTTGAGCTCCCAATTGATATAAGATTTTTATGGAAACTTTTGTATTGTAGAATCTTCGTAAGATCCTATTTACAGGTGAGGTTTTGTCAAAATTTCTACCAAACGTCGAATGCTATGTTATAATGATTAATATTAAAATAGATCTGATTATTTTAGAAATGGAATTAACTTATGAATTGAGGCTTACGGGAACGTGTGACATGGTTCACACCTCGTGCCGGTCACTCTCTATTTTTGGGACGTGACATAAGCTAAAGCCTAAAAGTTCAGAAACTGAATCTATAATTGAGAGGAAACTTAGGAATAAATATTATATTTTTTTCATAATTAAAAAGCTAGAAGATAAAAAACACATAAATTTAATACACATCCACTCTTATTATTTAGGGTAAAAGTAGGCTATGAAAGATTTCAATGAATAAATGAACACCATGATTAAAAATATGTATACTAACTTGGATTCAAGCAACATTAATTAGAATCTTCAGTATTCAAGCTTCGCGTGATTGGAGCAGCCAAGATCTGAGAAATAAAAAAAGTGAAAGTTTAAGATATTAGCTACATGAATATGTAAAACTGAAGATGAAAGTAAGGAGATTAAAATATACTAAGCACATTGAAAAATGCTTTAATGAATTGAACCTAGCTACATCAATAACAAAGAAGCTCATCTTGTGCGAATATGTAATCAAAAGTGTCATGAAATACAAATACTTGCCTTTTTTAAACAAGAACAACAACGAAGGACTGTCAATTAACAGAAAGAAGAATGAAAGAAAAAATCCCTGTGATTGGAAAGGACAATGAGCAGCGAGAAAAATCAAAAAAAGACTTTAAATACAAGATGGAAATAAAGCGTACAAATTGGTTTGCAGAAGCAGCTGAAATTGTAATAAATGGATGTGAGTTATCTCAGAATTTCGAATTGAGGCATAGAACTAGCACTCTGCAACTTTCTAGTGTATGTGCGTGTTGATTGGAATCTGTTGATAACTTGATGTATGGTTTAATTTTAATGAGAGTTGAAATGAAAGGAAGGTACATATTATGTACTTTCAAGACACCAATTGACATTTGTTATAATATATGTTACTTCATATATGGTTTAATGGATGCTTGGCTTTTGAAACATTGAAGTAAGGCATTATCCTCCAAGAAACAAGTTTACTTTTGTTGAGAATTACTTGATGCCTTTAACTTTGCTTTGCTAGATTGAACCTTTTTGTTGCGTAGTATAAGGCCTCGTGTAGATTTATTAAGAATTTGTTAAGTTTATTCAGATTAATTCTTCCTTGTTAGTTGAAAACAATTTAAAAATTGTTGGCTGATAAAGGGGGGGAAAAAACGAAGCAATCCCTGTAGTGATTTTGTCCTTCGTTCTTCTCTTTCTCCATTTTATTTTAATTTTTAGTTGAGAGTTATGAGACAGAGATTCACACAAGTTTTAGCATTACAATCTCATGCTTCCTATATAAAAATGGCGGCAAAATGTGAACACAATGATACTGGACAAGAATCATATCAAACAATAAAAATGGTCGCGTATGTGAGCTTAGTGTCACAAATGATATCTTCGTGGCCGTGTAAAGACCAAGATAATGAACGATCCGCTGGTTAGCCTCGCACAATATGGGTAAAGGGAGCGACATTGACATTTGGGTGTGTTCTGCTTCAGTCTTCGGGCTGAGTGCACAACTGGTCGGGGGCTAGTGCCGCCTCCCTGATGAGCCCATGGCAGGGTGAAACCAGTAGGATTCGTATGTGGTAAGGCTTGTCTCGGGGATTATGGGGTCCTCGGGACGCCGCACTGGCGCCGTGTGCTGTGCCAGACTCTTAGCCCGTGACAGAGTGGTATCAGAGCAGGACGTACTTTACTGCCGTGTGCCTGTGGAGTCCCACGTTGGGACTAGTTGATCTCGGCACCGCTCCAGTAGGCTTGCGAAGTGCAGGTAGGTCCAAAAGTGGGGACTCGGGCAGGAAGGTTGGCTGTGGTCGACTCCACTCCTGTTGGCTCGCGGGTGTGAGTGGGTCCGAAGAGTGCAAGACTCGGGTGGCTATTCAGCAGTAAGCTAATGTGTTTGTGGCAGTACTATATGTGCGATCTTTGGGTAGAGTCTTTCTCCCCTAGCACGAGGGCATGCTAGATTGGGTGTGGGAGAATGTCACGAATGATATCTTCGTGACCGTGTAAAGACCAAGATAATGAACGATCCGCTGGTTAGCCTCGCACAATATGGGTAAAGGGGGCGACATTGGCATTTGGATGTGTTCTGCCTCAGTCTTCAGGCTGAGTGCACAACTGGTCGGGGGCTAGTGCCGCGTCCCTGATGAGCCCATGGCAGGACGAAACCTGTAGGATTCGTATGTGATAAGGCTTGTCTCGGGGATTATGGGGTCTTTGGGACGCCGCACGGGCGCCGTGTGCTGCGCCAGACTCTCAGCTTGTGACATTAGGGTCCTGAAAAGCAGAGTGGCTTTGGCCCATAGGCCAACAACAGAGCAATCAGTTTCAGAGCAACCATGGCAGCGAAGCATGAAGTATGCGAAAGTGGGAGAAAGTGGTGGAGATATATTCAATGATCATCCAGAAGAAGTTCAGTCCACTAACATCACTAAATCCGAGGACAATGCACTTCACTTGCCCATCACTCTTTGATGTTGATGATATTGTGAAGAACAACCCAGAAGTTGTCGTGGGGATTATCGCGGCCTAGAATAAGAAAGTCTGTTTTATTATATTAATTTAAAAATAATTTTAGAATTAAGAAATTGACTGATAGGGATGATTGTGAGTAATTAATAGTGACAGTTTATGGTAGTAATTGGTTATGGTTGACAATAATTACCCATAATCAAATATTGTGTGTTAAAAAAAATCATGCAAAAAGGAAAACAATTCAAAGATATTTTTATATTTTTAAAATAAAAAATGATATCAAACAATCTGAATACATACTTTGTTGAAGTTTTGACTAATACATTTATGGTTGAGGTCATGGTGCACATATTCTTGCACGACACTAACTACCTATATGATTAAGGTTACATTTGATTTTTAGTTTACATTTAGTAAAAGTTCATTTGAGAGGTTGAATTTGTTAGATTTGGTAAAAATATATTTTAAATGTGATTTGAATATACTTTTAAAAGTTATCCAAACTAACCCTAAATAACAATTTATGTTTTACCAAAAAAGAAAATAACAAATTATGTAACTATTTAGCATTTACTATTCAGTAACTAAATCAGTTTAATATCTTAACAATGTAGAATAATTGCTTGCATAATTATTGTTAAACTATAATAAAAAAATAATATATTTGATTATATATATATATATATATTTGTGCGTGTGTTCTATCTACTTAATAACACATTATATATATTTATATGGATTAATATCAAGGGAATTATTAAATTAATTTTTTATACATAATTATTCGGTATCATATATTATCATATCAATTTTGAGGATTATCAAGCATAAATAATTGGAATTAGAGATAACTCTTCCCTTGTAATCTTTTTATTCATAAGGTTTATGGGAAAAATTGTTAGATTTCTCAACAGATTAATCATGACATCAGAATGATCATATAATAGAAAACCAAGCTTTCAATTCCTTAAAATCAGTTCCTTCATGAATCATGACCTCCTTTGTTCCATATCCAAATGCTTGCACACGGTGATTATTTATGGATATCATGAGCCTATGTAAAGTTGGGAATATGAATTGGGTTATGAGCTAACCCAAATAACTTGTTATAAAGATCAAGTTGAGTTGGAAAAATATAAATCCATATGAAAATGAATCTTTTAAAGCCTAGATCATATAATTCATGAATCAAATGGGTTATCCCCGCAACTATGTGATTACATTTTTACAAGCCACTATATCATATCAAACAAAAAGTTGGTTTTTTTTTCTTTAATGTGGTCTCTCCTCATGCATAATAGCATTGAGGAAAATTAAAATGCTTTTTGATCAAGTTTGGACCCTTAAATGATTTTCATATATATATATATATATAAAGCAAAATTTGGACATGATCAAGACCATAGAAAATCAAAGCATTTTTGTGGCTGGCTACTCATGACAGAGTCCATAAAGCTGATTTAAGAGCTAAAAAGAGGTACTGGCATCGATTCCTCAACAAACGTTTATCCAACTCAACCTGTACATAGTGAACAAATTAAAGTGAAAATCAGCATAATAACAATACTTTTGAGTAGCGGTGATCTCCAGAACTTTAAAGCTTCCGTTTAAGAAGGATTGCCAACAGATGTGTAGTTTTCCTCAAATTGGCCACACAAGAAGGCCAATCATTCTTCACTTTCTCTACTTCTTTCCTTGCTTTTGTTTGGCCTTCCACCACACGTGACTTGTCTTTCTTCACAACCTCGTACTCCTCCATCAATCGCATGGTGTCTGAAATTTGCTCCTCCTTTTGCTGTTCAAGAGATGAGAGTTTGACCTCACTGTCTTTGAATTCCTTGTCTTTGCTATTCAGTTCAACTTGCAACTTAGAGATCTCCTCCTTCAACTCAGCCATACTCTTCTTGGTGTTGGAAATTTCAGAGACAAGAGTAGTGGCTGCCTCCATTTGTTGGGAATATTTTTCATCTATTAGCTTCTCTTTTTCTTCAAGCTTGTTGAGTGTGTAAATTGTAGCAGAAGCTTGCTTGAAGGAAGACAAGGTAGTTTTGATTTCTTGGTGGAGAGAGTCTATTTTGAGTCTAAGGCCGTGAAAGAGAGGTCCGTTATCAGAACAGTAGGTGGAGAGGAAGGTGAGGGCATTCTCAAGACGATGAATGTGTTCTTCTGAGATGGCTATCTGATTCAGATCCATCTTCAATGAGGACTCTAAGTTTGCAACGGCCTCACTCAATTTGTTATCATCAAAAGCAGCAATTTCAGGAACACAAGGCATTTCAACTTCGTTGTCATGAGCTCCTTCCTTCATCATGCGAAGCAATCTAATAAGATCATCTTCTTCAGTGCAAGTCTCTGCTTGATTCAACAAGATTGGACCCTAAAGTGAATGCAAAGAAACATCAGTTTTCAATCTTTAATATAGTGAGAAGTAGAGATTTTTTTTTAAATCTTTTCTACTGTGTGTATTAGAACGTAACAATAGAAACACCTCAATACATGTACACGTATGATGAATTATATGCTATAAGTGAATAAATTATAAATTTACTAAATACTCTAGAAGTTTAATTTGCTGCCTTAATTAGTCTCATGCTGCGTGAGAAATTGTCGTGCAAGTCAGTTTATTACATGTCGGATTGGAAGGCAATAATATGATTAATTTATGATGCAACAATCTTTAAATACTTTATTTAAGCATTAGTAATTCAAAATTTAAGGACAAAATTATGTCTGGAAGTAATTAATTCAACAAAGCATAAAACTTACCTGTGCAGATGTTGTTTTAGAGGAAATGTCTGATGGTTTTAATTTTGAACCGCTTGGATCTGCTTGAAGAGTTGAAGTAATATTTTGAGGTTTCAAATCATTAGATATTGAAGAGACCTAAAAAATCAACCATAATGAATATAATTAATCGAAATATAAAGTTAGCTAAGCAGTAGTAGCAAAGTTATTAAAATCAACTCCTAGAATGACATTAGTATCATGTTTCTATGACATTAAAGATATAGTCTTGTGTAGATTGTTAACCTTTTCTGAGTCATCAGCATGCATATCAGGTTCTATTTGAGGTAGTGCTTGGTGATCCAGTGTGATTCTCTCAACCTTTCCCTCCTTGGGAATCAAATAATCCTAGATGAGCATAAATGTGCAAAAAGCTCTATCATGTTGTATCATGTAGCATAAATTCAACCTATATGAGGAAGGACATTTTTATTCTTACATGTGAAGGAGTAGCATATTCTGTTGGCGATGGCTTGCTTGATTCTGGATTCATGATTTGATTTGCTTCAATAGCTTCATCTAATTTAGAACCTTCTTGAACACTTGGAATCATTGTTTCCTTGATAATTTGTTGCACATCATAAAGCAGTAAATTAATTAGCTTGCGGTTATTTCTAGTGCCATCTCTTCAAAAGCAATTTGCTTTATTAGCTAATTGAATATAACTAAGGGAGGGCCGTTTGTTGGGAATTTTCTCTTAAACTATCTGCGTTAGCTGATGGAGTTATCTTTGCTGCAGGTATATCAGAAACAAGAACTTGTTCAACAATTTCATTTGTAGCTGCTTTGGTATTCCAAAAGCTTACAACATGTTAATGGAGAGAGAAACTGTTTGTTGTTTTCGCAAGTCTGTTTCATGTCAGGAAAAGGTATGATAAATTTATAATGCAAGTGATTTCAAACTATTATAGTCTACTATTAGTAGCTCAAAATGACGCAATAAAGTATATACTTAGTTTACATGTGAAGACGGTATATTGGATGAAAAATCTGATGGTTTTGATCGTGAATCTTTAAAATGAAAATACAATCTTTTCTCACTCTGCATGAACGTGAATATTTAAAGGGGCACCGTAAATTTAATTCATTTATCTAGTAGAATTGTAAAAGATTACAATCTTTGTTTGCTTGACCATGATTTGATTCTAGGATAAATGGAAAGATGCCTTAGTTTTATCTCTAAAATATAGTATGATTTTCTCTCTTTGTTTTTATTTTATTTTGGTGTCTTTGGCTGTCTTTGGCTTTTCCAAACTATATAGAGAAATTAGCATTAGAAGCAACTCAATATAGACGCATGATGTATACTGTAAGAGGATAAATTATAATTTTTACCACACATATATATATAGATCTATTAAAATAAAGTTGGGCTTTGATGAGATAGCAAGAGTATAAAGTTGAAGTAGCTGAGATGAGAATATTGAGATTGATGTATGGATATATATATGTAAAGATACAATTCAAAATGAGCGAATACAGGAAAAAATGAGTGTGGTACCTATTGAAGAAAAAATGGTAGAAAAACATTTGAGGTGGTTCGAACATGTACAAAGAAGATCTTAGGAGGCACTTGTGAGGAAAGTGAAACAAATGACTTTAAGCCTTGTCAAGAAGGGTAGAGGAAGACTGAAGAGAACACTTTTGGATGTTGTTAAGCAAGACCTTTTAATTAACAATATTTCTAAAAACTTAATAAATGATAGAGCATAATAGTGTCATACAATTCATATAACTGACACCACATAGTGGGATAAGGCTTGTTGTTGTGTGTGTGTGTATATATATATTAAAAATTTATGAAATTGGTATAAAATTAATACCAAACAAACAATGCATTAAACTATAAACTTACTTGTGCCAATTCAATAACGTTTGAAATATCCATGTCTGATTGTAAGCTACCAGCTGGCTCTCTGTGAGAAGCTGAAGTTGCCATTTGAGGCTTCTTTGGAGTAGAGATAGAAGGGATTTGAGACCATAAAAATAAGTGAAGTATCAGTAATATTGCAAAATTAAGTCAATGGGCTGGAAATGGAAAATGTAATAATTGGGAGGTCCATTTACTCTTTGATTTGGAGCTTCATTGGCCATCATACTTTCTTCAAGTGCTTCTTGATCATGCATTGATTCCTTTCTACATGCCACCTAAGCAAATGAATGAATAAGCAATATGAGACCTATTTAAAGCTAACATGGGCGCAACAAACTAAATCTATCTTGGTGGAAGTTAATGGGTATGCGTTTGAGACTTCTGGATCAGAAGGAGTTGTTGAACTTGCTTTGTCATATTTCTCAGGTTGAAGACCTTCACCAACACTTGCTTCGGGATTCTGCATAAAACCAAATCATATAATCAGTTTGACATTTATATGACACTAAAGCATTGAAATATAGTCTTCTATACATTATTGTCATCAATTAACTTTTGTGAATCATCAGGATGCATATCCGGTTCTGCTTTTGGTAGTGCTTCTTGATCTGGTGTGATTCTCTTTCCCTTACCCTCTTTACGAACCAAATTATCCTAAATGAACATAGATATGCAAAAAGCATGATAAAGTTGCATCAGTTAGCATAAATTCAACTTGCATGAGGAAGGACTATGTTCTTACACGTGAAGATTCATTTTCTAAAGGAACAACAAATGCTGTGGGCGATGGCTTGCTTAATTCTAGATCCATAATTTGATTTGGTCTGAGAGCTTTATTTAATTTCAAACATTCTTGAACACTTGGCTTCATTGTTTCCTTGACAATTTGTTGCATAGCACAAAGTAGTATATTAATTTTAGCTTGTAGCTACTTCAAAAAAAAAAAAAAACTTTACTGGCTAGATTTTGCAGAACATAATCAGGTGAAGGTGTTTGCTAGGGATATGTTCTAAAATATCTGAATTAGATGATGGAGTTATCATGGATGGTATATCAAAAAAAAAGAACTTATAAAACAATTCCATTTCCTTATGCTTTGGTACTTCATAAACTTACTTGAGCAGATGCTTTATGGGAGGAAGAATTTGATGGCTTTGATTGTTGCTCTTTAGGATGCAAATCAAGTCCTCTTTCACTCTACATGAACATGTTTGAATATTCACATACCCGCATAAATTTAACTGATTCATCTAGCATTGTAAAAGATGATAATGTTACTTGTAGAGATTCAATTTGTGTAGGAATAGCAAACGGTGCTAGTTTGTTGCATTCTTCTGAATCATTGATTTCATCAGCTTTTACAGCTTCCTCTGACTTTGGACTTTCTTGAACACTTGCCTCTGCTATTTTCTTAATCTGCAACATATTGGAAACCACAAAGAAAAGTTCTGGATTTAGTTTATTGATATCGTATCAAAATTTGGAACAAACTTTGAGGGAAATATATTTGCAGGCTTCATATGTTAGATTATAGGGAAGGATAATATACATACATTTGGGGAACCATTATCTTGGTCTACTCTTAGCCAATCCCTCTTTATAGCCTTCTCTGACACTTCTCTTAACCTCTGAACAATAACCAAATATATTAAAAAAGATGAAATGGCCTGAAAGTCTTTCAGTAACAAAAGGTAAATCATAGAAGGCAAAGTGGAAAACGTTGTGAATTAATTTGTAGCAAGTTAAATTAGTAAGGAAGGCAATTGTATTCTTCTTTACATTCAAGAACTTAAAACATTTAGACTGGTTTTGTGTGTGAATCTTTCTTCCTATATCCATTTTATTTTGGTACTTACCTCAAGAAATTGTTCGAAAAGATTATCTACATCCATATTGCCCTTTTCACTCTCAGAATTTCGAAACCAGTCCTCATATCCTACCAAACAAAACAATTCCAGGGCAGATATAATTAAATATCATTGCAAAAGTGTGTGTGTAGCAACTGTAAATATAATTAATCAATCTTTTGGATGCGTACCTTCAGCGAAATCAAAATTAATTGAGGTTAAAGAGATCTTGGGACAATTCTCCACATGACGGTATATCACTGTCTGGAAATCAATTCCAGGGCAGATATAATGAAGGTTTGGAAGATTATTAAGGACTATCACAAAGAGTTTTGGGAAATAGTCCTTGATGACCAGCTTTTCTGTTGTCCCCTGCTTCCATCCAAATACTTGCTCAAGCTTTATAGCATCATTTATCATCAACATGGAGAGCTGTGGAAGCCTACCACTTGTGGCGAGAGAGAATAAACATTTTAACATCTCACAATCTGTCACAATAATCCTATGTAGATTTGGGAAAAAACATTCTTGATGATGCGGATCATCATCATCATCATCATCATCCTCAATGATGCGCTCTAACTCTTCACAATCTGATACCTCTAAGTGTCTCAAATATGGGAGGCTTCTCGAGATAGATGAAGGCAAGATAAATTTCAATTGGTTGCAATCATTAATTGTTAGCTTGAAAAGATTTTGAAACCTCAGATAGTTCTTTGGTCCAACACATATGTTCTTTAAGTTATCCAAGTCATCCAAACTCAGGGTTTCCAAACATGAATTCACAAGACTTGCAATTTCAAGTCTTTGATAAAAAATTACTTCCAAGTCCAAGGAAGCTAAAGCAAGATGTTTCAAACTGCACATGCGCATCCCAATTACCTATATCATAATACATATTAGTATCAATCAATCATAAACTAACTAGTAGAAAAACGATCAATTGGAAACTAAGAGGGTTAATTAATTACCTCTTTTCTTGAGAGTTGTTCTTGTCCTTTATGCCCACCGACAGACAAATCTGTAAGAGATGTTATAGCAAGTTGTGGGCATCCTAATCCAAAAGAGATATCATTCAGGGAGAACGCTGTCACATAATAGTGTTCAGGGCACACACGGACCATATTTGGTACTCCTTTCAGGCATAGTTTGGTCAGAGCTAGGAGATGAATCTCAACATCATGATTGTGGTAATCAAGTGAATTATCATCACCATAAGATTTTCCAAACATATATTTCAACTCACGAGCCTCCTCGATAAGCACAGATTGCAAGTGCACAAGGCTTGTAGAACAAGAAGCTGGAAATATAGATTTCAACTTGTCACATCTATAGATTTCAATAGAGTGTAAGTTAGGAAAGATGGAGTTGGCATTCATATCATCATCATGACCATAATGCCTCTCGTCAGTTACAATATGCTCTAGTGTATCACACCGCCTGACTTCTAATTTTTCCAATGATTTCAACGATGAGGCAATGGATACAGTAAACAATGATGTTAACTTGGTAATACCTCCTATCTTCATCTCCCTTAAAGTGAATGGGTATAATGGTGGAGTAAAAATTCCGTAAGCTGCATTTCCAACATATTTCTCCTCCTTTAATTCCTGTAATATTTCATACAATCATCTTCAATAAATTAAAATTGTATGTGTTAACTTGTAAATATTTTATTTTTTTGGTTTTCTTGTAAGTGATGCAAGTCCAAAATATTGGCACAAAAAATAAAAATTGAGACTCACAATATTAGAATTGGAGAGTTGAAGAGATATTTTATAAAATTAAAGAATAAAACTTATATAAATTAGTTAGAGGATTAAGGAGGCTTTGCAAATATAACCTATGTTATAAGATCAAATTAAGCAAACAGCTCAACATTTATTATATTTTGTATTATTGCTGGTTTATTATATTTGTTAATGATATATCATTGTATATCAATAATAAATCCTTCACAAATTTTTAAATTTTAAATAATAAACTCATTGCATATCAATGACAAACTCTTTGTATATAAATATAAATTAGTCACACCCCAAATTTTTAAAAATTTGATCCATATTTTCTAGGCACAATATTTTTTTTAGTTAGTGGGCCAATTTATCTGAGAATTGATGATTTAAAGGTGCACTTTTAATGATAAAATTTGATTTCCCCACTTTATAAAGTGGTATAGTTGAAGAGTCATAAAGTAAATGTTGGTTCATGCAGTTTTCACACAAGCATTAGTTGATCCCAAATCTTAGTTACAATGTCTTTTAGTGGCTCAATCTTTAACAATAAAAGAAAAAAAAAGGATAAAATAGCATTTTTTTCCCCTTAAAGTATTCTCTGAAGGCTCTTAACACTCTAAACTATTAGTTGTAGCAATTTTACCTTTAAAATAATTAGAATGGAACATTTTTTTCCATTTTTATTAAATTAACGGTCAACATTAAAGTTTCAGTTAATATTTCTAATAGTCAACACTAGAAATTTGATAGCAAAGGCAAAAATACTCTGCTTTAATTACTTTAAAAGTAAAATTACTCCAATAAATTGTTAAAAATGTTGGGCACTTCTTGAAGAATACTTCAAGGGAAAAAAATGCAATATATATATATATATATATATATCATTGCTTGTTGAAATTTGTTAATAAATGAAATGAAACCACAAAAATATTCTTTCCTTAAGAAGTAAAATACCCGGAAGTAAGCAATATTATGGCCCAACCTTTCGCTCTTATGTAATGAACTCCACTCTATTAATTTTAATGTAAACAAATGTACGTATTATTAATACAATTCCTACACTTCAGACAAATATATAAATTCATCTTTAATACATTTAAAATGTGTATATATCATATTTAATTTTTTTTCTTTTGTCCCCCAGGAGAGCTCGTAGCACCATAGGAGGACGTGAAAACACGAGGATGAGACATTTCAGATCTATATTAAAAATTATACACAAATTGGAACTTGTAAGTTTGATATGAAAAAATAACTTGTAAATGTCCTGCCCCAAGCAGCATATAATGGACAAAGTAACTAGAACATTTTCTTTGCAATGCAGAAAATCTATTAATTAATTCTTCATTCAAAAAAAAAGAAACATTAATAAAAGTGAGAGGGAGGAACATGTATGTGTACCTGGGAAGTAGTGGAATCAGACTGAGTTGCCTTGGACATAGATATATCATCTTTATTTGAAGTGCTGGATTTTGGCAGAAAACAACATAAAGGACCCCAAGCTACATTGCGACTCGGACTCTTGTCTTTTACTTTTGACACCTCACTTGTATTTGCTATTGATTTTTTTGGGAGACGACATTCTGGATATATATCCACAAATTCTGGAACATCCTCAATAGACATTGCTTTCAATGAACGTAGTATGATTTCTTTTTGCATTTGATACAACTCTCCCTCTCTTGGATATTGCCCAAATATGTATTTTATGTTGTCACATTCTGAAATCTTCACACTTTCTAGTAATGGAAGATCTTCGCACAAACAAACTGGAAATATGAATTCCAATTCTTTGCACCTTGTGACATGGAGGAGTTTCAATTTGGGAAACATTGATTCATGACTACTCTTTGGATTAGATTCCTTATCATCCACTTTCTCCTCTATTGATGATCCCTCGTCCCTTAATATGCATTTCAGCTCAGAACATCTTTTTATCTTCAATGTTGCTAGTTGCTTTAGAGTCTGAGCAATAGACAGATGAAAAATGCATGCCATGGAACAATTGTTTATTTCTATCGACTTTAGGTTACCCAACTCTAGCTCGCCCTTAAATAATGTGCTTTCTAACATTTGACAATCCTTTAACTCCAGCTTCTCTAGTTGCTTGAGAAAGCCGGCAGGATAACGGCCACAACATATTTCGCTTATATCCACCTTAACAAGTTGCAATTCAACTAACTTGGAGAAGACATTCACACTAGATTTAAGTTGAGGATTCTCAGCATGGCCCAAACACTTTATTTCAGACCAAGATGTCAATGAAAGCTTGATTACGTCATTCATAGCTCCATGTTCCATTGAAACAATGCCAGGAATAAGACTATTCTGACCCATTTCAATATCTCCTTTTAACTCTAGAATCTCTACTCTTGCTGCCAATGATTTAATCATTTCTTTAGAGAATATTCTTTGTAACTTTGCTGGCTTGAAACTTTTTTTTATTGAAGCATCCAATTGAAGAGAATAGAAATCAGAGAAGTCACCACCATCTATATGATATCTTTGATATTCTGGAAGAAATGTAATTTGAGAAACCTCTTCATCCTTGAGCATATGATCCTCATTCAAAACATAATACAATTCTTCTAGTTGTGAGCATCTTGCAATCACTTCAAATGGATTATTCCCTTCGATCGAGCAATGTATCAAGCCTAGAAATCTTAATTTTTTCAACTCACTAACTCCATTTGGCAGTTCAATTATTGAGCAATTAATCAATTCAAGAATTTCCAGCATTTGTAAATTTTTCAGCAGAGATATATCACCTAATTCCCAATTGGTAAGAGATAGGGTTATGATATTTTCTAGTAATTGAATTGATTTTAGCAATGACAGAGCTGAAGTTCTCCCAAACTCAATCTTAGAAAATAAAAACAACACCCTAAGACTCTTCATACTTCTAAAGAATCCACTTGGAACTTTCAAAGAACCAATTTCATTGATCCATATTAAGAGAACCTCAAGTTTGCTTCCATCAAAACAATTCGAAAAGTCATCTATGATCCAAGATGAATATTTCATATTCTCCTTCAATTTTTTCTTAGAATCCTCGATTACTTGAATCTCTTTGTTTGCAATCTCCATGGCTACTTTTCGAATTACATCATGCATCTTTACACGTTCTTCACCAGCCTTCAATAGTAAAGAAGAATTAATGAGTTTGTTTTTAGCCATGTGCACTTGACTTCTTGCTGTACAATAGTTGTCAACTTCTCCAAATAGCCTTAAACCTATAGCAATTTTGCTTAAAAGCTCAATAGGTATTTGATAAGCTTTTGGAAATATAGCACTCAACAGGAAGAGAACTTGAGCTTTTTCATCTTTTAAATAAGCATAGCTTAACTTCAAAGAATTATAAAACCTCATTGCATCTTCATCATCAATCTCATGGCTTGATGGTTCATTACTTTTCAATGCTGTCAAAGCATGACCCCATTCATTTGTATGCAAGTCTCTTAAGGTTTTTGCCACTGCTACAACTATAACTGGTAATCTTCCACACTCATTCACAATATCTAGTGCCACTTTCTTTGAATCTTCAGGACAATCCTTACCATTTTTAATAGCATGAAAAAGGAAAAGATCCAATGCATCATTCTTAGGTAAGGCAGCTAGCTGAATACTCTTTTGGCATCCCATCTTTGTACAAACGTTCTTATAACGTGTGGTTAGTAGAACATTGCAGGTACCCGTGTGATGGAAGCTTGGCTGAATCCCTAGTTTCTTAAGATCGAGCTTTTCCCAAACATCATCAAGTATTATGAGTATCTTTCCAGCATTTGTAATCCTGGTCCATATTTGTTGTGCGTGTTCTAATTGCTTCTCTTCCTTTAATGGCAATCCCAATTTCTTTGCAATGTCATCTCGAATCCTTTTTTCATCCATTGGAGTAGACACACTAATGAAGATGACTTGATCAAAGGGTTTTGATTCAACTAGTGTCCCAGCTTGAATTGCCATTGTGGTTTTCCCCGATCCTCCTATCCCTTGCAATCCAATTATATGATTGTTTTCATCTTTAAGCACCGCTATAAGTCGATTAAATTTCAACCTTCTGCTCTCAAATTCCATAAAATCTTGTGAATAGTAAGCCATGCCTGGAGCTGCAGCTGAACGTGCAATTCGAGGAAAGGTCTTACGCTCTTCAAGTAGTCTCGGAATATCTTTCATTGTCGCACTCTCCAACTCCTTGGCTCGCGGATATTGGGAAAAGCAATTGATACACAAACCAAACCATTTATTTGGTTTGGTGTCTTTTTGAATAATCTTTTCCCCTTCTATAAGCCAGTGCTGAACTACAGGCTCAACTTCAGTTTCATTTCTTGTTTTGGCTTCTTCTATTTCTTTGTGCACACTCTTCATTTCAGCTAACAACTTTCCTCTCGTACTTTCAAAGTCTTCAGCATAACTATTGTAGCAACACAAATACGGAAGTTCCTTCATTCCTAAATTGACCACTATTTCCGTACATGTTGTCGCAACATTGGCAGCGGTCTCCCCCATCTAACATACATATGAGACTACCATTACAAAAATAACTAGACCAAGGTATACGTATCTATTACCCGACTAATCCAATGCAAGATTTTTACTGCATGCAAGTGGGATTATATATGGCAACTAACAATTCACATTTTATAATTCAATCAAATAATGTTGAGATTATAACTTAAATTTTAATAGTCCAGTCTAATTATTTTTAATGATTATGTTAGCTTAAAATTATCATATTTATTTCATATTTATAATTAAAATTTTAGGGGACATTATTCATTATTATCCAAGTTATTATTTTTAGTTTTTTTGAAGCTCTATACATATCTAGTGATTCTTGTACAAATGAAATTATTATTATAAGCTGTATTTTATAATTGAGGAATTTTTCACTCTCATTATCTATGGCTATTTTATCCCTCACATTGAAGGTTTTTTCCATGTTAAAATTTGTGTATCATCTTCTATTATTCTTCTTTTTAATTTCCAATTGTGTACTGATTCTAGTCCTATATATAAGTCACTTCTAACTAGAACTGATAATTTAAGCCAACTCAAAAAAGCTAATCCTAAATAATATTTTTTAATGTTCAAGCTTATTTGAGTCAAATCAAATACGGTCCACAAAAATTCTAGCTGTACCCAATCAAGTTTAAACTTGGCCTAAATACCCCAAAAAAGTTACTTTTAAAAAAATATATTAGATATTAAGTAATTTTAAGTTTTAGTTCATTTTATAATGAGAGACCATAAATTTGAGTACATTTTTATGTGTATTTTCTTAAAAATCTTTACATTGTCATATTTGTATTTTTTAATTTATAAAATACTTTATTTTGAAACTTTAAAACCCACATAATATGTTTTATATTAAATTTTGGGAGATTAGTTGCAACTTATTATAATCATCACCAGTAGACTACAAAAGGTGAATGTAAAATCTGTGCAACAAGCTAAAGTCTTTCCAACATTCTATACGAAAAGTCATAGCATTGAAATTTTTCACTTATTAGTATCAAATTTTTGAAACTCAATGTGAAATTATTCCACCTACATATGTATTAGTTAAGTATTTTTTTTCCAATTTTTTATTTTATTTTAAGAGTTAGAACATCAGTTGCGAAATTTTTCACATATTAATGTCACTTTTCAGGAAATCAGAATGAAATTTAGGATTTTGTTACAAAGATTTTGGATTGCCAAATCTTAAAATGTAAAGACTTTTGTGCTTAGCCTAATGTACTTGATATATTTTTATGCAATCAAATCAAGATATGTAGAATTTAATATGTTAATCATATTAATAATAAAAATTTATTATAGAATAAATTATCTCTAAAAATATATATGTCTTGATTTAATTGAAAATAATATAAGGTTTAGTATATAAGTTTTTTTTATAAAACAAATATTTAGTTATTAGAGTATTCTAAAGGGTCGACCATTTAAATTTCATTTTAATTAATGATCGGGCCCAAAACATGGGAAGTACGTTTTTTAAAAGGCCACTCATTAATGGAAACTTCAAAAGTATGAATTAAAAAGGCCACTTGTTGATGAATTGTGAATTAATTTGGTGCTTTATGGTCAATCTTAAACTCCTAAAAAAAAAACCTCAACATTCCACTTTAACTCTTGAAAATTTTGACTTCAAGGTTAAAAAGAATCATGGACAAACTTGTAGGTGATCATCAATTTTTTCATCATGGGGTGACATAGCAGTGATAATTTTATTATTGTCTAAGAAATCATTCACTCGACGAAGACCAAGAAGAATAAATAGGGAATGTTGTTAAGGTGGATTATGAGAAAGCTTATGATGGAACTGAATGACAATTCATCCTCAAGACTTTAAGGAGGGTTAGTTTGGATGAGAAGCTTTGTCAACTCATTGTGGAGTGTATCAAAATCTCCTCAATGCAAGTACTCTAAAACAAGGAACTGTCAAATCTTTCAATTCATGTAGAGAGATTAGCACTAGTGCAAAATATAATTTTAGTGACACAATTTTGGAAGCAGTTATGCAAGGAACTGTGGTAATAATATATTGAAGAGTAAAATACTTTCACCACCATTCTATTTTGCCTAAATACATAAACATATTCTCTATTTTAAAAATATATAATTTAGTCTAATCTATTAACTCTATTAAGAATATTTTAAAAAGATTCTTAAAACATATTTTTAAATATATTAAAAACAAATTTTATTTACTAATTTACCCCTCACCCTAATAAATCATAAATTATATTATTTTTGACAAATAAATAATTTCATTGTGAAATACATGTTTACAAATTTTAAATTTTAAATTTAAATTATTTATGTAGTCTCTCAACTTATATCATTTTATATTATGTGAGAAACAAAAATATATATTTGAAATATGTTTTTAACAATTTTAAAAAATATAAATAAATAAGTTTCAATAAATTTGATAAAAATTAAAATTTTATAATAAGATAAAATTAATAAATTTTATAATGCAATAAAAATTTCAAAATGTATTTATTTTATTTTTTTTAGTTGCATAAAAATATATTATTTTTTCAAATATATATTTTTAGATAATTCTTATGTTAAAGAGGGGCATTTGTATCAAATTAAAAGTTTAAAAAGAAGACTTAACGATCAACTAATGGTTGGATGAATGAAAATAAAATTTCAAATATACAAGGAAGGTTCATGTAACATATATGTTAATTTTAGGGAAGATTTATATGAGTTTTTAAAATAAATGAGAGGTTTGTGTAATTAAGATATTATCGAATGGTGGTTAGTGTATTTTACTCTAGATTGGATGATGGATATGTAAATAAGTGGAAAAGGAGAGTAATTAATGGTGATAGTTAAAAAAATAATTGTCTCCAAAATGATTGATAAAACAAAAATATGTATGTAACAAATTCCAATTTCTTTTTAAAATAAAATTAGGAAATTTTATAGTAATCTCAATATTGTATATTAATTTTAGATAAATTGAAAATTTTTATTTATTAAAAATTTATAGAATATATGTTTAATATTATATTATATAAATATATAACTAAATAAGTTATTTACGTAAATTTAAAATATAAATTATAATTTTAAGTTTAAAAAAATATGGCAATCATGATGATCGTTATTTGGTCTTATTTCAGACATATAGTATGTCTGAAATAAGAGCATGAATTATTTGCTTGCATGAGAAAATATACTGGTTTTGTTCTTTACAATGGAAAGTAAGCAAAAATATGAAGGTATTGATTGAATTGTAAGTTTTTTGAATTATTATTTTGTGAAATTATTAAAATATAATTAATATTTTCTTACGTGTATATACTTGATTAATATATCCTTAAAGATGTATTGGAAGTTAGCAAAAAAGAATAGTAGTTAAGTGGGTGTATATGCTAGTAAGTATTCAAATTTATTCTCTAATTAGAATAAATATTATATTATTGACTTTATAAATTTTATTATTTTATTTTGCTAATAGTGTGCTTAACAACTAGGAAATGTAAGATGTGGTTATTATATGATACTTTTCATTTATTGAGATATTGTTCTCACCCTTATGGTTATATTTTATAAGTGAAGACTTTGATAGGGGCAAAGAGAAGGAGGAAACCATCAAGAACTTGGAGTGCTAGATTGTATAGCTCTCTATTCTTTTGGGTTTGTGTAACTGAATATATATTTATTCTAACTTAGGACATGTATCATTTTTTGTGGTCACTTGCATGAAATTATGATGTTTTAGTATATTTCAACAAGATATTGTAATGTAATAGAGATTGTTGTAAGAGGCTAAAATACTAATTGCAGGTGTCATTATTTTGTTGATTGCATGATTATGGTTGGCCATAGATAAGTTATTGTGAATATGCATTTACCCCTTGGATGAATGTTAATTCATGGTTTTGATGGCCAATTCGTGTTTAAATTGTGTGTATGTGAATATGTCTACTTTATTAGGTGCATTATGGTCTGAATAAGGGGGTTCAAGTGGTTCCTAATCTATTGGCATTTGATTTAAAGTTATGGACACCTTTAGGCATGTTTTGAAAGGAAAAAGTGTCTTTTTGCACTCATGTATTCTATTTTTAAAGTGATGGTATTTCATTGTAAAACTAGTGCCAATTATTAGGAAGTGTAATTAGCTATGTGTAGACACTTGAATTGCCCGAATTGGATGTTGGATGGCAAATTAGTGTGCTCTAGAAGTTGGTCTCGGAGTGCTGTTATGATAGTAGAGGCGAGCCACGCATAAGTCACAGCAAGAGGAATCCCCACTTTGTGCCATCTGCCTCAACGAATGACACGTGCGTTGCGGTTATAGCGCATGTTGGACCTTATCCAATTTTCTCTTGTTTGATGTATGATGGTGGTTTTCCTTTGCCATACTTTTGTACCTCCTTTAATTATATTTTTAACTATTATTTGAGCTTAAACATTTTCTAAAAAGAATTTTCTTGGGATCCCAAAATTTATTACTTTTGAAATTTAACCCTTATTTGTTATGGTAATCTAATATAGGATTTGCTTAATCTCTTAATCATCATAATAGTGTCATGTGCTGTGTTTTGGAAATGTTGAAGAGGGCATTACAATTTGATATCAATTTCACAAGTTTAGAGACTAGCATACATTGAGTTTTGTACTTGTATTATATTTGTTGCATTCATGTATAGAAGCTGGCAATATATAGTTGTTGCAATTTATCTTCCCTTTGCATAGTTGTCTAATTTCTACCCTTATCTGCTTTGTGGTTGCTTTTATCCTTAGGAGGAGGGAATATGACAAGAAGACAATCTGTTAGGACTGCTACTATTAGTAATCCATCAAACACGGATGTGATACCTAGAATAATGAGATACCACCAGAGAACCACATTCTTGTTGGACAGAACTTAGAGCATCCTAGGAATGAGCTATAAGGTAACGAGGCTTTGTTGATTGAGATGAGAGAATTGATGAGAGAAATTCATTATACAGTAAGGGAAGAGAGTAAAAGGTGATAGTAGG